GTTGCACAGTACCCATGAATTTTCTCTGCCAATGCTGTTAATATTTCATGAGTAAAGAAATATGAGACTTGGTAACTTAATAACTGTAACCCGCTTGATCACTGGGCAAGAAAAGCTTAAACTTGTGTGATTGAAAGCTTCCTCAGAAGTGTTAAGTTAATGTATTTCATTTCATGACCCTCGGAGTTAATGCTGAAATAAATAAGAAATTTATTATTGTGCTCATGGAAATAGCTAATATGTAATAATAGCTAATATGTAATTATGTAGTAGCTAACTGAGGTGGGTATATGGTGCAGCCAGAGTAGAGATTTTATAAACGGAAAATTTTAAAACTCTTTTCTGAAATCAAAGGCATAATGAATCGTATAAATATGACGATTCCTCTGGTACTGTACATAAATTCAACTATCAACTAAAAATACGCCCAAAGAAATATCTCCTTCTTTCCATCGTAAACTTTCCTTATCTATCAACTTTTTGTTATGTAGTAATAATGTTCCTAAATGATTCGGCACGAAAGACCTTGCTCTGAATTCATGATTTTGTCCCCTGATTTCACTGAAAGTGGGGGATACATGTATTAATTTGAGTCTGTCTGACCGTCCGTATTTCTGTCTGTCTTTAACGCTTTCGTTTCCGCGCGATATCTCGAGAATCCTTTGAGCTGTTGCAATGAAATTTTACATAACAACTCCCTGTGGCCTAAGAAAGACCAATATCGATTTTGAGGTCAAACAGTCAAAATTCAAGGTCGTAAATTTTTAACATTCCGTCTGTGTGTAACACTCTTGTTTCCGGGCGATATTTCAAGAAGATTTTGAGCTTTTGCAATGACATGATTTTATATACCAAAAACTCCCTAGGGCCTCCCTCACCCCTCTCAAAGTGTCCCATCTCCTTTGTTTAATTAGTATTTTTATTATATTAAATATCACTATTTTTAACGCAGGGGCATGTGCAGAGTTATTGTGTATAATACAGGTTTGTCGATTTCCATACTAATTCATAGGCCATTACTAGTATTTACATCTTGAATTATCTACTAATTTTCCCGTTTTGGGTAATGAGCACAAGGCGGTCGTGTCTCTTCGGCATGGGATGCTTATGCCTTCATGGCATCTGACCCGTGCACCTCTAATATATAAGAGGTCCATGTTTGCTATGCTCCAAATCTGTATTGTTTAAACTGAGTTTCAGTACTGTCCATTATCTCCGGATTTTATTTTATCCTAAAGTCAACGGGGTTCTTCATCTATGTCATCAGCACATACGGCTAATGGTGGCTGTAATCGGTCAACAAGGGATATTTACCCCTTCGAGGCACCTGATCCCATCTCTGATGTTCCCATTGGTTCTCGCTTTTACTCTGTTTACGCTATGTTCACTCAATTAATAAAAATGATTTACTTTCGTTATGATCAACTATCACAGAAAAAAAACCCATGTAGCAAACATGTAGCTTTCTCTCAATAGTAGCACCATTCAATGTTTTCTAAACACGGCAAAATCGGCTTAAATACTTTACGCTCATTCAATGTTTATTTCTACACAATTAACCTTACAAAATGCTTCAATAATAAAACATTTTGTTCTAAGCGACGTGTACATGTATATGCTTAGAAACCCTCGTTTCAATGCTCAGATTGAAGCTCTATTTAAGAAATATGGATAGTTAGTTAATATCGTGAATTATTTGCTAAGGGAAAGAAGAAGAAAAAAAAAACAATTCATCGTAACATTTTATTTTTTAAAACGTAGTGTTAAAACCGTTTTGCAAATTAATGGCTTGATGAAGTTTTTATTAATGAATTTCTTCAAAAGTTTATACTTATACATGTACATATCTGTTAGAATCAGGACACCAGGTACATTTATTTATTTTTCACGGACAAGCTTTTGATCTTCATTATCTATATAAGGAAAAACGTGCAGACTTATATTTACACATTTGGATCCCAGCTGTGGCCTACATTCACACTTATTCTAAAAAAACATTGGAGATTATTACGAATTCGTGACAAATTAATGTGCGAAAAGATCAATTCTTGAACTTTAAATGTAGAAAGATAATTGACTGTCATTGTCCACGTGGCGCAGTGGAGATGAAACGTTTGACATAAAGTTGCAGATTATCCCAACGTTGCGGTTCGACTGCCACTATTGAAATTCACTGCGGGACGCAGATATCAATCTTTCGTGTGAGACCATATAAGCCGAGGTCTCTGATCGCAGAAGTTGTTGCCGCGAATTCATTCACTGCTTGAACATTGTTGCAAGTGCTGATGGAGTACTGGTCTTGAAGAGTACTCAGTAGGCTTTCCCCTCTTTCTACACTGAAAACAGGCTCTAGACACAGGCACTTGTTCGGGAAATAAGTTTTTAACCCGTATTATACTAGTAATAATAACAGTGTTATTATTATACTATGGACTAAAAATTTATTTCCGAAACAAGTGCCTGTGGCTCTAGAGTAGATCCCCCCCCTGGAAAACTAGCTCTGGAATAGGATTTATCCCACTGAAAAATGATTCTAGAGCAGGATTTCTCCTACGAAAATCCCACACCAGATTTAATTTTCCAGGGGGAAATTCTACTCTGTGTACTGGCTATAGAATGCAATTTCCCCCAGAGGCAGTTTTCCCCCATGATATATCAAAGCTGTTCTATGTATGAGGGGCAAAGGAGCTTGCATACCGGTATTGTTATAAGTGTTCTTTTCTCAAAATGACTGTTTTGAAACATACGAAGCATGAGAAATATTTTTAATTAAATTTTTCTCAGTAATCGACAAGCTAAGTTTTTAAAGCATTAAAATGTTCTTCTTTTCACCTGGTTAAACTTATTGCTGAAAAAAAAAACACATTTAAAGAATTGTAGTCCCCCGCTTTCGGTATAAGTGGATGGAATTCCATTATCTGTAAAACATTGTGTCATATAATGAAAGCCAACAACATGTCTTTCAAACATAATCTCCAAATTCTCTTTTGAAAATTAGGTCAAACATGAAGATCAAAGTCAAGGGATCAAAATCATAGCATGCTCGAAAACATCTTGAAAAGTTACAAGTAATATGACAGCCCTATCTCTTTTTAAATCAAAATTAAGTTATGAGGAAAGATAACTTTTTTGAATTTTAAGTCAAATTTCAAGTCAAGGTTACAGGGTTAAAATCATAGTTTATTTAGAAATGCCTTTTAGCAGGTTATGTACATGTGCTCTATAAATTATGAAGACCCTAATCTTTTCTCATTTTAATTAAAGTAATTATTATTATTTTTTTTTTTTTGAAAAGTGGATCAAACTTCAAGGTCAAGATTTCGGGGTCAAAAACCATTTTATATTCGAAGTGAATGTACATCTGAGATGTACTCTCTTTTCATCCAGGAGTTATGACCAGGGATAAAGATTTTGAGAAGGACGGACAGACTGATAGACGGACAAGCTGGCAGACAGACGATCGAGGTTCTCGAATGCGTGAACAATAAGGGAGTTTTCAGATTTGTGAATCTTTCAACATACTTCTCGGATATCAGATCGAGTGTCTATTATAATTTTTTTTGGGGGGGGGGGGTAAATGGAGCATTCATATCTATTTTTGTCCATTAAGTGCAATATATTGAGAAAACGAACAATATTCAAGCTCAAAAGACCATAAAACAATACAAAATGGAAGCGGAACAACAACGGACCTCGAAAACATCAGAGGTAGGATCAGGTGCCATGGAGGAGTGAGCAACTCCTGCCAACCGGTCACACCCGCCGTGTGTTCCTTGTCATGATCGGGAAATAACGGAAAAAATATCCGTCGTCAATTCAGTGTATAAATAATGGCCTAACAATTATTATGAAAAATATCAGTCATGCATTTGATTCAATGATACATTGTATTTGCTATCAAGGTCATTGCATCCACCATAAAACTTGATTTTAAACGAGACTGCATTTACTAGTACTCTTGTTCCGTCATCTTGTTTGTCTTTAATTTAATTCGTTTTAGAAATTGTACGTACGTAGAGCACGCTCTTGTGTATCGAATTACTGGTAATTGAGAGATAGAACCCAGTATGCAGGTGATGGCGGTATATTGCTATATATGTATAGGAGAAGTTGACATTTGAGAAGATAAAGTCATCACGTTTTTCATAACGCTTGCTTTGGTTGTTAGATTACCATTAATGTATATTTCAAAGAAAATATCCAAATATGAAACAGATGTGTCAGTCTCTGTGATATTTTTTATCTCAAGTTCATCAGGATATATCGTGTCGACATAAGAATGGAAATAACCATTATTAATTGTTGACAATACGCCGTCGATACATATCTAAATGTCGGTATAGGTCTGCTTATAACAGGGTGCAATTGGTACCCATGGGATTTCCAATAGATTGTTGAAACCCAGTGTCAAAACACCAAATAGATATTGTCAATCAGAAACTCAAGCATCCTTTTGATATCAACTTCAGAATTATTTGTACATTCAAAAGTTTTTAACAAATTACTTTAGTAATTTTGCAAATGACCAATGACAAGGTAAGTAAATTTACGAGTCTTTATAGGATATATTTTCCTCGATGTTTGTTCACCTTTGCTGTACATTAATGTATACATGTATTTATAAAAAAAAATGTACTACTAACTAAACATATTATTGCCAATCAATGCAAAATAAACGCTATGTTAATCTAAATGCAATATACTTTTTCATGTCCTATGAAATGGACCACAGCAAATTATGTTCAGTGAAATCATGCGAGTATTATTCCCTTAAAACAATTTTTTGCACGACTACTCCTTGGTTGGTATCTCCATACTATTCACAGTCTTTAGAGGACTGTCTTGGATACACATTTGAAGGCAAGTATTCCCTCTAATGTAAAGTAATTTGAAAAAAATAAATTTCCAATGTTAAAACCTTCAATATTTATTATAAGTAGAGAATCACTTCGATGATTTTAAATTAAATAAATCTTATGCTTAGTAGATAAATGAAAAACACTCTTAATGATGACAGTGGGGATATGGATTCACCAGATAGCATTTATCCTCTGTGTGCTATCAAACTGCACCTGTCTCGTGTATGAGGAGAGTATCCCCAAATTACTACAGCACTGCTTAAAACAGACAAGCCATGTTAAGGGCAACGTAAAAAGAGACACTGCAGAGGCCATACATTACTTGTGTACAAAAGAATATATCTTCAAAACACCCGAAGAAAGATGGCATCCAGATCTTGATCACGTGGTTAATACGAATACTTTGCGTGAATTTGCCGTGCTTTTCAAGGAACTAGATGTAGAAGAAAACGATAGCCACAGAGTGCATTACAAGTACTCTAGTATTAAAAAACATTTTATAAGGGTCAAACGAAAGGAACCAATCGTACGAAAGGAATACAGACAGCTGACGAAAAAGCAGAGGACAAAATTTCACAAAGCTCTGCAAGCTATGAAGGCTGACACGAGTGACCCTGTAAGGACACTATTTTGTGAATACATGTACTTCTTTTACTTGGAAAGATTAATCTTCTTTTCAAAAAATGTTTTTCTAAGTTTATTTAAAGCTTTACATTACAGAAAAGGCAGCCAAACGTTTATGATTGGTTTTGTAACCTTCATCCTAACAAAGTTGCCCCGAACGCTCACTATGGTCCAGCCTTTCTGGGTTTTCATCGAATTATGCTGTATCTGTACGTATTCATGTTAAATTTAGCTCCTATGGTAAGTGCTCGATTGTTTTATTTTATATATAAAAAAAGTTAAATATGGTTTGCAAAAATTAAGCTAGGGTAATTTAGTTTTAAACTTTCTCAAAAATGTTCTAGATGAAATGAGATTAAGAATATTTTATGAAGAAAATTACTGGTATATTGTAGAATGATAAAACGCTGTCAGTAAAGTTGAGAAGATGTGTAATGCAAACATTCTTTTTTCAGATTCGAAGAAAAACTGAGATCTTATGATCCCGACGTGTCTCTTCCATTTTGGGATTCAACGTATGAGAGCATTCTGGACACGCCCACCGCCAGTGTTATTTTTACGGAAGATTTTATGGGCTCAGGCACAGGGACAGTGGTGGACGGTCCTTTCAAGAACTGGAAGCATGACACCGCAGGTGTTCTTATAAGAAACATTGGAAACAGTGGTCAGCTATTTGAGAGAGAAAAACTAGACAAAATCATGATGAAGACTTACATATCAGAAATAACCCAACCTGACGCCGAGTTTGATGTAAATCTGGAAGCCATGCACGGTCAAGTACATGCTTGGATTGGAGGTTCCATGGATAATCTGGACTATTCTCCTTCAGAGCCTCTTTTCTATATGCACCACTGTTATGTAGATGCATTGTGGGAAAAATTCAGGGATAACCAGGTAAAACGTGGTGTGGATCCAACGTCCTACCCCGAAGTTACGGGTGGCCATGCCCCAGATAAGCCAATGAAACCATTCTATCTAAAAATAAAAAATGGAAAGAAAATTTACTTGAAAAACAAAGTTGGGTATGCTTTGAAATGGTCCCAGTTAGTGCAATACCAGTATCCAAAGAGAAACTGTAAGACTAATGCTGACTGTGCTTCAGATGTTATGGTCTGTAGGGAAGAGCAGTGTATGACTATGACTGCACACGAATACGAGGTTTCAAAGAAACCAAAACCCAGGCCCAGAATACTAAAAGCGGCGGCCGCTTTTCCGATCCCAACAGAACCCCCAAAGCAGGATGAGGATTTTTTGATGGGTTGGAACAGTTGGTTTGGCTGGAGGAAGAAAAGAAGTGTTAGTCATATTCACAAACATTTTCAGTATCCCTATAAATATATTACCAGTCAGCATAACAATATACGAAGGTATCTTCGAAGGTATCACAGTCGCAAAAACTCAGCAACTGCAGTGAAATACAAGTATTCTGATGAAAAAACGTCTCCTATATACCACTCATTTCAGAATACATTTACCATAGATGGTGTGGAGGATACTTCCCAGTGGGCGTACATTCCCATCATTGTGTACTACAGAAGACCAGTCGAGGTTCAATATGATGCCCATCCAATAAAACACGGGAAGCCTGTTATGAATAAAGATGTATTTAACGAATATCATGACGCTAAATATATTACTCATAAAGTAGGAAACCCTGCAAGAAATCCAAAATGCATACATATTGGTTCAGGTGCCACCAAAATATATGTTAAAGCTTCTGGTATCAACTACAACGGATTTTACACCGACTACGCACTTGTTGACGAGCGACAGCCCTTGTCCTCTTCATTGACGGAGGTGGGCGTGAGAAAGCCAGTCGGCAAAACTCTCTCAAAAGTTTACATCTCGGCCCACGATCCATGTGGACGAAGTTGCAAACCTCGCTGTCTTGTAGCAGGATCGAATCCAGCACGTTATAAAAAATGCACCGGGACTCTGGGTGTCACGAACAGCGGACCTCTCATGTATAGTTCAGATGTCGGCGATGCTCATCTGAACACTTATGACTTCTCCACTCTCCCGCCAACTCTGTCCAGTAAGAAGGTCTTTCTTGTTTTTTATTGTGACCAAACCGAAGTTTGGCCTTGGGATTGAGCGGAAAGTATTTATTGTAAAGGAATCATACTGATTCAAATTGAGGACATTAAAAGGGTTGAATAAAAAAAATATTTCAAATGTTATTTGTTTCCTCTACGTCAGTTGTCTACTTTGTAGGCCTAAGTATTAACTAATAGGAAGTCTTTCGTTATGAGGAATAATAACTTTCATAGAATAATGATCGGTAATCATTTTCGACGTTGAAATAAAGAAATGACATGTTTTTATTCAACGTAGTAAAAAAGACAAAAGTGATATCACTAGTAAAATCTGCATACCTTGCAGTGAAGAAAAACAACCCATTAGAAATCCTCGTAGATTTTATTAGGAAAATATATTTTTTGATTAAAAATTTTAAAAGAAACAAAAATCAATAAGCGTGCAGGTCAAAATGCTCACCTGCACCTGAGCTTAATTTAAACACGTGTATGGACATACATGTATTCCTGATGGAGATGATTCGTCTTTAATTATGATAAATTCTAAACATTAGTCTACTACAATCAACACCATACACGTAGAAATATTTTAAATATTCTAAAGAGAGAGGGAGATAGAGAAATAAAAAATTGTATTAACCGGTTAAGCAAACATAATGAAAGTTTTTGTCTTTAATTTTGACAGGTAAGATTCTTGCACAATTCGGATGCATAAAACAAATGTATCTTGAAAACCTAAGGGTAATATTAATTGAATGCATTTTGAATAAAAGTAATTACCTTATGATTTAAATACTTCAGGTATTTTTTAACAATACATTTTGAATTAACTAGTAATATCTAGGGTATTTTGTGAACAAAAGTTGCGATGCAAGCAATTTTTACCTAAACTGGTTTAATGCCGCTTAAAAAGTTCACTTTGAGATGCCTATCGGAGAAAAAAAAAGAGAAAGAAATATGAAGAAAACAAACACTAATCTAGCTTAAAGTCAGTTGAAACAATACAAATTGGGAGCAGGGCAAACACGAGCTTAAATTCTAAATACATCAGCGGAGGTATAGGTACCTATCCATTGCCGATCGGTCAGACCAGCCTTGTGCTTCTTGTCATATTCATGAAAACAGAAAAATTCTTAGAAATTCAGTTTGTTAGTCTGTAAATAATGGCCTTACAATAAGGATAAAAAAAAACTCAATCTGCATTTGACTCAGTCCCAGATTGTACGAATGCAGACAAAGTTATCAAATCGTCCATAGAACTTGCAAAATGATGACGAGAAACGCTTGTTTGTGAAGAGCTTGCGTCGTTTCAGGAATTTTGCATTCGTACAGCTCTTGCGTATCGAATCAACTGGGAGTCTGGATGCCGAATTTGTTTAAATGTACAGTCAGAATGTTTTTGACAAAGTATGTGCAAATGACCAATGACAGTGTAAGTAAATAAATGCGTTTCATTTTTTCGTTGGAAAAGGAGATGACTAACACACTTTAAGACATCAAAAATCCTTAACGTTGATTAATCTTGGGGGTTGGCGTTTTAAAGCATTTAGAAGTCGTAGCTTTTGATGTTATTGATTTTGGTAAAATTTGGTGATTTCAAATTTTCTAAAGGTTCCTTGGAATTTTTTAGCATTGACGTCTGATTTACTCTACATTTCACAGTGTTGTATATATTTAGTACTCCTGAAGTTTCTCCCTCACTATTGTAAAGACATACACAACGTAGCTTGAAATTTTTTGTCTTTTTCCATGGAATTGAAGAGTTCCAATTCTTGAAGGAACTGTGTGCTATATTTTAAAGTTTATATATGGTGTTGTACCCTTCTTCTAAGACATTTTTCATAAAAGAAACATCAAGAAAATATATTTAGTATTTTTTATGTATTTTTCTTTGAATCATCCAATAATTTTCATAAATTGATATCTTTCAAAAAAAACCCTGGTAATGCATGCTGAACATTTGTTGACTCCATAATCTTAATTTAGGAATATCTTGAAAAATTATCAGTAGGTAAGGTACGTGCGTATGTCCTTAATATTCTACGTAGTGAGAAGTAAAGAAAAGGGTAAGAGGATAGAACATTTATTGGAACCCGCTACATTTCTTAATAAGGATTTTGTGAAGTTTAGAAACTCCAGTAAAGGTATGGTTTTTAAATTATTGTGATTTTAGGTAAAATTGAAAATATTAAAAACAACTGACATATGATTTTGAAAAATTTCTTCCTTGGAAAGGAAGCTTTTGGTATAAGTGGAATTATCCTTTGCAGAAATAAACCCCAGTTCCTCTAAAATAAAAAAAAAATAGCCTTAAAGCAAAGACAATGTTGTCACTTGCTTTGTCAGTTGAGACCAGTACATACTGATCTCATACTTTTTCACTTTTGAATTATTGAAGAAAAAATGTCCTAAAAACCAAAATGAATTTGAATTATTCTATGTATATTGGATTCCGAAACTTCATTAAAATCCTTACAAAGAAAGATGCATAGTGTGTTCCACTAACTGTTCAACCAAACCTCTTTCTTTACTTCAAGAGTACTGTGCAAAAATATATTCAAGAAGTGGTGTAAATCAGATGCGGATGCTTAAAATTCCAACGAACTTTTGGAAAATTTGAAATCACAAGACTTTACCAAAATCAATATCTTAAAAACGTGCGACTTTACAACTTTATGCACAACCATTCCCCACGATAAATGAAGTCTAAGCTTATTGACAGCTGCCCTTTCAACTCGTAAATTTACTTGTCATTAGTATCATATCGTTATTAGCAGACCTATTTTTGTATTTATATGAAGCAAAATTTGTCCAAAATCTTAAATATGAAAAGAAGAAAACACTTGTGGTGGCATTCAACTCCTCATTTAGACATATCGACGTTTTGTTAATTAACAATGTTTATGTCCATTCTTCTGTCGATACTTTATATTCTTGTGAGTAAGAGATAAAAGATATCAGAGTTGATATTATAGACAGTAACACTAATATGATGTATACTTTTTACAAGAGATGTTCAACTTCCAGGTATGTACCGGTATTTTTTTTGTAATATTGATTCACCATCATAATTTCTCTCTCCTTCTCTGGATCAAAATGATTTTTATCTCCTGATAATTTTTAGCTCTACTGGTCAGAGACCAGAAGAGCTTATGTGATAGTATATCTAGCTGTCTGTCTGTCTGTAAACAATTTTTCAAAATGCTACTCCTCCTACAGTTTTGGTTTTATTTCAATATAACTTGGCACACAAGTAGACTACATTAAGATACATAATTCTGTGTATCGGTTTTTGATTTCGATGAACGGTGTTTCCGTGGTTACTAAAAATAGAAATTTCTGTGAAATTCTTTCAAAATGCTACTCCTCCTACAGTTTTGGTCTGATTTCACTATAATTTGGCACACAAGTAAACTACACTAAGATACATAATTCTTTATATCAGTTTTCGATTTTGATGAACGGTGTTGCCGTGGTTACTAAAAATAGAAATTTCTGTGGAATTCTTTCAAAATACTTTTCCTACAGTTTTGGTGTGATTTCAATATAGCTTGGCACACAAGTAGACAACACTAAGATACAAAATTCTGTGTATGGGTTTCTGATTTCAATGAACGGTGTTTCCGTGGTTACTGAAAATAGAAATTTCTGTGGAATTCTTTCGAAATGCTACTCCTCCTACAGTTTTAGTCTGATTTCAATATAACATGTCACACAAGTAGACTACGTACACTAAGATAAATATGCAATTCTGTACATCGTTTTTTATCGATGAACATTATTGCCTTGGTTACTAAAAATAGAAATTTATGTAAAATACTCTTAAAATGCTACTCCAAATACAGTTTTAGTCTGATTATAATATAATTTGGCATGCAAGTAGACCACACTAAGAACATAAAGAGACTTAATCAAGGATCATTATTCTATTTATTGCTGTTGTAAAGTTTCAATTCCCAACTTATGTACTTTTCTCTTCCTTTGCTATAAGTACAAACCAGTAGAGCTTCAGTCTCGACAGAGACTTCTGGTTGTTCTTGTAATAATTAAAACATAACAAGACACATTCCAGCATACTGTAAATTTTATTTCTGACTGACATGAGAGGGATGCAGAGCATACATATAACAAGTGTGTGATGAGATACACCGGTCTTAACAAACCTATTTGTAACAACCAATGTGATTGGTCCTGTCACACAGTGACGTCATAATGAAAAGAATTGATTGAAAATGATTTCTTCTTTAATTTTCATTTCCTGAGATGAAAACATAGTGATGGTAAAAAAAGCAAAGATCTCAATGCACTTTTCACTAAAAGAAAGAAAATAGGCTGCAATAAATAACAAAGGGGAAATGACTAGACATAATGAAAAAAAGATGAAAGAATGAGGTAATATTAGTCAAATGAAATTTTAATCTTTCAAGTTGTGACTTCAAATATCTCTTTAAAGATCAAACATGCACAAGAATTAGGTATCATCAACCCTCTGTTTACAAAGATAATTTTTTTCTTTAAACTGATAATTTTCCCAATAGAAAAAACTATTTATAATAATAAACATGCACTTTCAGTATACTTTTTAGGACAAAATATCTATAAATGTGGCTTTTCAAGTCAAGAATTTCATAAAACAAAAAGGTAATTTTTTTCTTCCCAAAATGAGAGTTATTACTCCTATCAGAGGGTAAATGAACCTTTAAGTTAAAAAAAAATTACATTTACTCAATGGTGTGAATGAAAAACATTGTTGACAACCCTGATTTTTTGTCTTATTGAATGAGCAACAGGTGATGAACAGAAGCAATGGGTCTCCTTCCTTAAAAATACAACATCAATAGTCACAATGAATCCAGGAAGGCAAACAATGGAGAAAAAAGAAAAACTCAAACTGAATGATAGCGCTGGATTTAGAACAGTGCATTATAAAATAAACAGTATCAGCAGCAACAGTTAACAAGATTTAACAACAAAGAAAAGCCAGAATCTACTAACTCTCCTCAAAGTCAGAAAAAATTCTAATTAGGATCTAAATTTGTATTCTACTGCCCTCTTCTTTTTTAGGTGATGAAAATAATAGCTAAGACAGAATTTTGATTTAACTATAAATGTTCCACTAAAGCAATGGATATCTATATACATCATACTTAGGCATTCGATCAAATACAAGCAGTTCCCTGATTACAACATTTTATTTGGTCTTACTAAAAAAAAATGGACAGTGAAATATATGGGAGTTAAAAACTTTGAATGATTCTGGGTTTCTGGCCCCAATAAGAGAAGATCAATCCAAGCCGATGACAACATCTATACACCAAATATCTAGATCGATATACAAAGAAAAAGAGGATGAAAAATGTTTGAAACAGACGTGAGATCTTTTTTCATTTATACCAATGTTTTTTGTTTTTTTTCTGTGATTGGTAACTTGACTCTTTTTATTTGAAATGTTATTTATTTGAACCAAATAAAAATCAATGATTTTTTTAAAGAAAATATTTTTTAATATGTCTTTGAAGATAAACTTCAAAAGCAGTCAAAAACATTGATGTGCCTATGAAGACTTCGACTATGATCAACAATGAACACAAGTTGTATGTACAAAAAATACTGGTTCATTTGACAACAACAGGAATTTCACTGATTTGTCAATCACAAAGAATGCCATTTCTATTTATAGGGTAAATTTAAATATAAATACATATCTTAACATACCTAGAAATCAATATACTGTTTGGCAACAGTTGTGTACTGACAATATTATGCCCTTGATCACACTCTATATTTATTATAAATATGTGTAATGTTGAAAGAAGGAGTCAGAATGTTTAAGTTTAGAGCAGAATCGATGCTTATCATTTGAATACATATCAAAGAAATTTACACATCTGTTTTAGTTCATTTCCTGAATACAATTAATGGAGAGGTGAATTATCATTGTAACACAGGTTTCCTATTCTTTGGTATTACATATCAATTCATTTTCTATACAATAAAATAAATCTAAATATCCCTCCATAATAATATGATAAATCTTTCTAGTACTATTAAAAAAAATTAAATGTTCTAAAATAAGTGTACTTTTTTTTAAATTATGAAAGAGTACAAAAAAAATTAATTAAAAAAACTTTGAATTTAGCTTCATTTAATTTTCCCTCATAAAAGCTGTTTAATACAGAAATAAGTGAATAGAAATTTTCGATCCATGAAAAACTATTCAAGTTGCTCCTCTGGGTAAAAACATTAATTATTGCAGAAGAGGGCGACTTCTATTGCACACAACTACATTTAACAGATACAAAAATATATATATGTACACTGCAAAAAAGTAAGCAAAATTTACCATAGCAGAACATCTATTTATTTGGTACATTTCTGTATTCAAAGATGGATTAAAATTCAAAATACAGATATCTTAAAATATTTAATAGGAAAATCTGGTTCTTATTTTAAATCAACTTATAAGAAAAAAATCCAAACACTACAAAGTTTTTTAAGTATTCTAAAACCTGAAGCAAAAACACAACAAAAACTGAATATATAACACTAAAAAAAGCTAACAGGCAACAGTAGCACTTGAATATGTATCGTAATAAGAACTGAACATTGTAAAACATGGACATTGTTTGATTGGCCACAAAAATAATGACTCAGTGACTCAAGGGTCCACTGACAGGTCTAAAAATTAAATCATAAATAATAGGTTCAGTTTGACTAAACCTTAATACAATAAAGTCAGTAATCAGAAAAAAGTGTAAAACATTAAAATACATCCATTCTCTTTCACATTCAGGATCCAAGGGATTCAGACATGTTTGTCATTACAGCTTCCTGTGAAGTCTGCACTGAATGTGTGTCCTGATTGGGTGAAATTCGTCCAATGGGTGATCTGGACTTTGGAGACCTTGAAACTGGGGACAGATCTAAACCCTGTTCACAACCTGTATCCTTGCCCACTTGGTTGTCCAAGGAAACCTCACTGTCATACTGGGTTCTAGGGGACAGATCTAGGGCTTTTTTGGAGGAGTTGCCTGACTGGACAACAACAGAAAGGGGACTGCCAACTGATGAATGGCCATTCTCAAGGAATGCATCATCTTGTTCCAAGCTTTCTTCTTTGACGTCCATGAAGCCATTTCTGTAAAAGTTAAGACAATGTATAGAAAATTTGCAACTTAATGAATTTCAAATAATTTACTTCATTAATTAAGAAAAGAATCAAATTATTTGACTATTATTTATGGGCAGTAGACTTTTAACTAAGATACTTTAGGAGAAAAACCAAGGAAATAAATTCACAATTAAAATGACATACAAGAGATTTTTTTTCAATATAGCATAATAGGTTACATAATTTTTTTTATGGAACATACCGGTATGTTAATTGTCAAAGCTAAACAAATTTCCTTCTGTATCAATTTTGGTCTTTTTTATGCTAAAAAGGTGCTTACATTAAAACCAGGCAGACCATAAATATATAAATACTAAATGTGTTGTGTGCACTTTTAAACTCCCATTCCAATTTTGACATCAGATAAATATTAATAACCAAAAAAAACAAAACTATAAAATATCATGTGCTTTTTAACACATGTGAAAATATTCATAAATGCATACTCTTAAATATCAATCCATATCATCAACTGCAAGTATTTCAGAAAAAAGAAATCATAAAATTCCTTTCTTTTTTGGTTTCAGGTACGTAAATTTTCATTTTACAGATGGTTAAACAAACTAGAAATTAAATTTTTTAATGCAATTTTTTGGTTTGTGTGTGTTTTCGTGAAACATAGTTAGCATGAATTTTCTTGTAAAAAATCTTTTTTTTTATAATTAAAAAAAAACCTAATTAAAAAATTGTTATCATTTGTGGTAAAAATTCTAAATTTTCTCACAATGCATTCATTTGGTGATAATATGAGCACTTTAGCTATGCCTAATTTAAGCTATCCTTTAAAAAAATCTCTGTCCTAATAAAATCTTTCTCTTTTTTGTAAAAAACGAACTTTAAAATTTAGAGTATTATTTCTTTTTATTGTGGTATCCTCTGGAGGTGTGGTATCTTGCGACAGGAAGGGCCATCGGCCACGGGAAGTTAAACCCTGTCACCACAAACAAGGTCTTATCTTCATGTTAAGGTGAACTTTGAATCTCTTACTCATCTTTAAAACCATGACTGTCAACTCTTCACAAGCTACGCTATTTTTGTGTGTTGTAAACAAACAATAGCGTCCATTAAAATGTCATTATTTGCATGTTTATACCTTTTTTCCAATTCATCATTGTGCTTTTTTAACAAGTATGCATAATGAATGAGTTTCCTGGTTTAATGTGTCAATGGTATTGAGCGACAAATAAATTTCGTGGGACGTGCAGTAAATAGCGCTAGCTTCATTTTTATTTCTTTTGGCTTCTTTTTTTTTAATTAAATAAGATCCAAAAATGACATAACTTGATGTATCACCTTGGCCTGCTAAAGTGCTATGCCTTGGTACTTTAACAGTTGGTGTGAACTGTATACAATCAAATTTTTTTTAAATACAAGGAAATAGAATATGCACAATATTCCATAAAACCTATCAATTGAAAGTTTTTTTTTTAACAATTGCAGTTGAGAAGAAGAATTTTCAATAGCAGGTGTGCAAGTAATTCATATGCATTTTTTTTCCTTCAAAATCTATTTTCATAAATTCATGCAAATACATAAAAATGATTTATAAATCCTATCAAACAGTTTAAATATTAATTCTTCTTAAATGTCTACTGCATGAATTTTTCCTCCTGAATTTAAAAAAAAAAGACAAATAAATAGGAACAAAAGAGCAATCAGGGGAAAGACAAACGACGAGTGCATTTTGGCACTGGGTTAGTTATGGTGAATCATTCATGTATCTGCAGCCTGGTACGGTTTATGTAAAACAAGATGTTCAAACTGCATTTAAAGTCCGCTTGTCCTCTGAAGGAACAAACAAAAACTCGGCAGCCTAGATTGCTGGTCATGTTTTATGCATATGGCTACATCACGATAGATGGATTGTCACAAAAAGAAAACAAGATGACTGACTTCAGGAAACAACTCATCAACACAGACTGTGATGCACTGACGGGAATCGTAAAAGCCAGGCTCGACACCGTCAGCTGTCTGATATTGACCTAGTGACCCAGCCCTGTCAGTTACGGCAAATTATCTACACTTTATTTCGGGATCAGTAATGCATGTATGTTTTCTCATTTGAAATTAAATTTCAGGATTCAATTCGATAAAATGATAGATCACTTGTCATTAATGGTCAAAGGGCGTATCTTTCACACAATTTATGTAAACAGCATCAAATTAACTAATTATCTCCAAATGTCCTGACATCTGTTTTTATGACTTTAAATGATTTATAAAAGAGATCATCTGTCTTCTTCTGACCAATAAGAAACAATATTTCTATCTAGAATGCAAATTTAATGATTATGGTTAATAAAACAGTGTAATTGACCCAGAAAATAATATTTTTTTGTTTGTGAAACAGGTAACAGGTGTAAATGTTTCAAAAAGCCTTATCAAACTTTTGTCGTCTAGTTTCCCAAAATTGTCAAAAATTAAGCATGCATGTTGAAATCAATCAGCCCCCTACTTCAAATTAAAATTCAGTTAAATTTAAGCAAAGGAATATCATTACTAACAGTCTAATAAAACTTTCCTGATTTCTCTTTATATGTTTAGAATACTGACGGAAATAGCAAACTCGTTTAAATGATTGTAATTTAAGAAGCCGAGAATTTTAAATATCTTAATGAAGCAATTGAACACATAAATACTGACTATTACTTATATTAAGTATATCCATTATTATATTAATTAAAGCCCAATTTCCTGATGGTAAATAAATGAACATTTATCATGGTTTATTGAAAATACCATTTCCTCCAGAGGAAAAATAATCAGAACCTTTCAAATTAAGGAAATCTTATCTATTAAGGAAAGGTTAATTTTGGGAGAAAAAATAACAGAGCAAATAAATAATGTCATAAAATTTAACAACTTGTATTAAACTTTACACTCAGAAATGCACACAACACATAAAGGAAAAAAGAATTTTTTTCCCTCTCAAGTTCCTTCTAATAAAAATAAACAGGAATTCGCAAGGCCATCTTAAAAAAAAATCATTTGCTTGCCCTCTCCAGACTTAGGATAAAAATATTTGGTCAGTGGCTTTGGAGGGGAATTTTTTTAATTAAAAAAAAAACAAAAAAACTTGCAAATATGATATTAAAATAGTTATCAATGGGATGAAAAAAGCCTTTAAAAAAAATTATTTTCTGGAGCTTAAAAAAATTTCGAGTCGAGGCATTTTAAGTCAGTGGGTCGAGAGAAAACCCACAAATTTTTTTTTGAAGATGGCCTAATCTACATAATAACTCATTCTATGCATTGGTCAAAAGAAAAAGGGCAAATAATATTTGACTTTGGATCTAGATGTTTGTGTTGACGTACCGTGAAGGGGAGTCCAGTTTACGGAGGTTATCTGAGCTATCGTTCCTGCTGGACTTCATTGACAAATCTTCCACACCGTCCATGGAAACAGAACCATTACTATAATGTTGATTTAATATGGTGGCCTGCTCAATTGCAGCCTACAAAGAAAAAAATTTCAATTACCAAAATTTTCTTTCTATGTGTGTGTAGGGGGTGGGGTGGGGTATAGAATATAAAGGATTCATTTCCTCAAAAATATAAACTTACTCGTAGGCTGGCATTAAATGTCTCTCCAAAAATTACTGGATCGGTGTTCATTGAGGGACTTTTAACATCTTTAATGGGCATATTTCTGTAAGGCAAATGCAACATATATATCTTCTAAACACAAAGAATAATAAAAAATCAACAAATTACATTAAGAATTTCCAAAACTTTTTTTAACTTTTAGCCTGAACCTTTAATATTCCACTTATTATATTTTCCAGAGAGCATTGTCAATTCTTAGCTGCTATGAAGTACGTACAAATGAAATTTTAAACTGATATAACACTTACCCTCCCAGCTTCTGAGGCCTCCTTTTGTAAAACTCCACTTCATCGACTGTCCACACGGCTCCCTTGACATTCTCCACCCTCATGAAGCATTTGTGGAGACTTAGATTGTGCCTCACTGCATTCTATAAAACAAATATTTCACATATAGGAAAAGATATATTTTTTTCAACAATTCATGAGCCACTGGTTTCTTTTGATTCTATCAGTGAAAAAAAAAAAAATACTGCCTTTTTCCCACGAAAAAAAAATCCTACAATTCAGGCAAAAAATTTACAACTCTGTTTTGTTTTATTATTTTTTTTAATATGCTTTCATAAAATACATGTATATTGTTATTTTGTAAAAAGATCCAACAGTCTAAGGTTGTTATTTCAACATAGTTATGATAAACCTGATTATTTTTCACAAAGTAACATATCATGTGTCTGCGAAAACAAATTTTATCCAATAAATAAATTACGATTTTTCAAAATTTTTAGAGGTTGTCATATTCTATTATTCATGACTGTGCTTTTTATAAACATTTCTATCAAACCTTACCCTGCATGACAACATAACATAAAAAATATTCTAATTTAATTTTCTCACGTGACTTAATTGAGAAAAGGAAAAAAAAAACACACAAAAAAACTAAAGATATTTCTAGAAGAAAACTGGCCTTTTATTCGTGTATATATTTTCATTAAATTTCTCAAATGAAAAGTTAATGAATTTTTGTGCAAGATAAGAAATCAAAGTTATCGCTAACTGAATTAAAAACACAGTGCCTTGATAAATTGTAGACTCGACAAATTGCTTGATCAATGGATCAGCAAATGCATGTCTCTGTCTATCATAAAATTAGACAATTAAACATGAAAGGTCATGTGACAAGTAGATTCAGGTAACATAAATCATTCGACAGAAAGTTAATTAGACTCATTATTGGAACAATAAACAAAGATATTTCCAGCCAAAAAAAGGGAAGGCTTCAATATTAAGACAGTTTTTAAATTCATTTCTTTTGAATCATAATTATAAAAGAATCAAATAGATATTTTAACATAATTATACATAAAGAAAATCTTATCATTTAAATTTTCATTTTTTTTTTTTCTTTGCATGATTATGTAAAAAGTAAAAATTGCATAAGCCGAAGGCAGTCCCATCAATTATATAACCCTGGAAATATTTTATTCTTATCCACAGTGTGTGTATTTTTAATCTCTGCAGACATGAAATATGATAAGATGTTGTCACAAGTTTTATGTACTATTTGTAAAACCTAATCATTTTTAATTCAGAAGTGGTTTATTTTATCAGCGATTTATTATGCATAAATACAGCAGGAAATAGAATTGAATATGTAAACAGATTGTTTATAATTTCATCATACATCCCTTTTTTTAAGTGTATCAATGTTAACTCTGTCATATGAAAGAGTTTTCTTTCCATTTGACATCAGTGTACCTTTCAGTTCATGTGTAAAAAAAGAAATGGCATAATTTTTTAAAAATAAATATCTGCACCTGTTCCCTTAAAGATTCAAATTATCATTGACATGTCATCCTTTATTTGAAAGATAATCATACAGTAAAACTTGTTTAGTTCGGATATTGCGAGTTCACAGAAAAAGCGAAGTTATCTTGGATTCCCAACTATACAAATCTAACAAATTCCTTATACGGATATGACGAATAACGCATATAGCGAAGTAATTTCACAGGTCCCAGCTATTTATATAACATAAAAATTGAAAGTTTAATTCTTCTCTTTGAAGGGCTTTGAGTTTTTTTTTAAATACAAAATTAGAAAAAAAATTGCTTTAGGAGAAATATACAGTACTGTCAAATCAATGCATAGATTTGTTTCTCTTTCAAAAACTGTTTAGTTTCTCTGCTAAATATCAGCCTCTGTTACCTTCCAAGTTGCTTCATTTCGTCTAAAGTATGCAAATGTGTTCTGGAACCACTGGTAAATTTCATTCAATGTCAGCTGCTTATGAGGAGACTCAATAATTGCCTGAAAAAAAGATGTTTCTGTGAGACACTGATCCCCTCAAATGACAGTTATGGTCATTTAGTTCAAAATTCTTAAATACAAGTCAAATTCTTAGGACAATGTAGGTCAAACTCAAAGGTCAAGCTAAAAAATGCTGGTACCAAAACATTAAAATTTCAAAAGCAAATTGATAATAATATATTAATTTCAATTTTTTTTTTTACAACACACTTGCAATTTTTTTTTCAAATGTTATCTCAAAATTCCAGCTTTTAGTTCATTTGTTTATTCTATAATTCAAACTAAGCAACAAATATTTTAAGTGGGTTTGAAAAATGACTTTGCAATAATGCGAGAAATTGAGTGATCATTTGGCACTTGTTCGTCTCATACTACAATTACAATACTCATTGTCTTATGAATGGATTACAAGCTCTGGAATCTTAGACTTACCTGGCGAATTAATGAAGCGTAGGTGAATGGAGGGCGCACATCTGTGCTCTTGTAGAAATCACGATTTCTTTGGATTTCTAAAAATGACATACATACTATATTAATAATTAATGTACACAGTGATTTTTATGGGGAAAAAAGTTATAATGGTAAGAATTAACCTATAGATGTCCATAGTTGAATAAAAAAAATTTTTTTAGAAAAAAATATAGAAAAAAATATATATACCCAGTATATAAAATATTTTTAAAGAAGTGGTTAAGAGGGATTCAATTTCATTAATGAAGATATAATGATATATGTAAAGTCATTTTAAATTTCAGATTTTTATGGAAAACATGAAGTTACCATATATCCGTTTTTTTTATCGAGAACATCTATTTTTCGCATTTTTTGCGATCATTTTTCATTCGCAAAATATAAAACACGTAGAAATTATTTCAGCTATAAAGTGACATAAAAACATCATCACTTTAAACAAAAAAAATTCTTCAGTCGTAAAAAATAATTTACGCAAAATAAAAACTATACTAATCTACCTCTTTTTCGCAAAATTTCCAACACACGAAAAAACCCCCCAGATATACGGTATAGGACTTTAGGTCCCTTCATAACATAAAAAGTTACAACAATTTTCTATTATGGACTTTTCTGTAACTCTGAATTTTAACTTTTCAAGGAAGACATGAAGTCATAGGTCTCTTCATACCACAAAAAGTTACAACGATTTCCTATTATGGACATTTTTGTAACTCTGAATTTTAACTTTTCATGGAAGGCATGAAGTCATAGGTCTCTTCATACCATAAAAAGCTACAATAATTTCCTAGTATGTCTATTTCTGTAATATTGTGAAAGCTACAATTGTATATACCCTCTGATGTCCCAGCTGAGATCGGGAGGTTACATTTGTCTGAAACACGTCTTCTCATTGGTCCACTGCCTGTGGGGGTCGATGGCTGGGAGTGGGACTGTGGGGTGGGAGGCTTGGAGAGTGACGTCACCATTGAGGGGGGGATCCCCAGGGAGAGGGACATAGGGTGTGTCACCATGGGAACGGGGGTGGGAGGGGCTGAGACAGAAGAGACTGAAGCTTGCTTCATCGGGGAGGATAGAGCTGCCACGGGCCGTGGGGGGCTGGGGGCAGCTACTGGAGGTGTGACTGTCGCCATGGAGATAGGTACAGGGGTGGAAACTTTGGGATGAAACGTCTTCTGCAAAAAATAACGCCAAGTATTAGCATGACTTGTTACTCATTAAGTTGTTGCAAAATAAGAATATGATGTTTTTAGATTTATTGTAATTAACTATTGTAAATACCAGTTTGTTTTTTATTGCTTCAAGTTGGTATTTACTGCTTCTCGTATCATTATATATTCTAAATATCAGATCTTTATTTATAGCTAATAAACATAAAACTAGTTTGAATATGCGTGATAATTTAGCACATTGAAATTCACTGTTTGGAATAACAATGATTGATATTTATAGCTAAATGTTAGAAAAAATCTTTGATTTAATTCACACAATTAAGAATTTTTAATAACCTCTTTGATCAACATGATTAAACTCATATTTGATTGGCTTGTAAGAAGGCTTTAAAACTCAGTAATAATTTCAAAAAGTAAATATTTACAAAAAAAATGAATCCTTACATGTACAGTTTAGAACTTTATTAATATTGACAGCTAAATAATGATATATTCATAAAAATCCCCTTCTAATTTCATTTAATTCACACAGTAATGCTTATACATGTATATTGAAAATCCCATTCTAAACTTTTATTGTCCGTTTTGTGCTTATGATCATAGTTTATACAAAATACAGTTGAACTTCGTTATCTGGAACTCCAATATCTCGAATACCATGGATATGTGGAAGTGATATGGAAGTCCCAACCACACATTCTTTAAGTACTTAACCTTAGATATCTCGAATCCTCCGATATCTCGAAGCTTTTTCTCAGTCCCATCAGGTTTGAGATAACGAAGTTTGACTGTATGATAGATCTTCACATCATAAAATTTAACATTTATATCCACAAAATGTTATTATGGAATGCAGACTTGGTTTTCTTTCGTATCGGTACTTAGATTTTCGTTGTACACAGGTATTTATACCTGGCCCACCAGCTGACCTGACCTGACCTAGTTTCAGCCTCCACCCAGCCTCTGTCAGGTCAGGTCACCTTTTATGCCAGTCTCAGCTAGGTCCTTATCATCTTCATTTGGATCTCAGATTAGATAACTGCTAAATACTTAACTCTTCTAATTCTTATAAATGTGATAATGCAATAATTTGGTTTAAATATCATGGGTTTATAATTTGCTAAAAATTAAACTTAGTGTTTTGAAAATTTAATGTGAATTCCAAAGAGCGATATTTGGTAAGTGTCTCAATAGGCCCCTTAAAATGGATATCTTAATTTTACTTTATATATAGCTTTAATTTGTACAGCTATATATGCGACCTTCATTGGTCATTTTCATTTTGATCAAAATGTCGTTATTTTAGAAATATGACAGCATAAAAAGCACGTTTTCCCGCCATTTTAACATATTTTGTATAAAACTGCTTATTTTCAAACAGTTTTTCTTTCAGGAAATATAGAGCGCAGCCTAGAACACGATTTATATTTTTACCAAAGATGTATCTATTCAATACTAATATGTGACAGAAAAATTATGTATGTTCTACACTGCGCTCTATGTTTTCCATTAGAAAAAACATCAAGAAAAAGGCATATTTTTTGGCTTTCTTGTTAGAAAGCAAAAATAGCATTATTTCTCATGTAATTTACAGTTAGTGAGGTCATAAAAATGTGAAAAATATATTGGAAATATTTCTTATATAATCTCTTCTACAAAATAAAAATAAATAAAACATATCTGAATGTCATTCTAAAATGTTGATTTCTAGGGGGCCAAAATTGGTTCTTATCATATATACTCCTTTAATTGTCATTTACAGGTAGCTGTGAATTGCTGCTAAATACATAAGTGGATTCTGATGCTCTGTAAGGGGGATATGAGCTCATTGTCACCTGAGGGGATGGGAGTTCTGGCTTTGCCTTGGGCTGTTTCATATGAAGGTGCTGCATCATGCCCTGAAGAAGTTCCTTCTCTCTTGCCAGCTGTTGAAGATAAAAGTATATTTTTAATGCTTCTTCAATAATAAGTTACTTCCCTTTGCAATTACTCCACGTCAATTTCGTCCTTATTGTCTATTTTTTTTTATTTCTTTGCACTGCAATGCACTGTTTTATTTAATCATAAATCAAGAATATTCAAAGAATTTCTGCAAGCATAGATTTATATACATTCATTAATGGTAAACAAATTAAGGAAAAAAATGATACAGAAATGCTGAAGCCCATTAATATTTCATCTTGTCAATTAAGGATTCAAACAAGAGATTTGTCTCTCTTTTTACTCCTTTATACGTCAACATTAATGTTTTATGATCGATACTATAAACCGCTAAGACAGCTATAAACAAAGTCATGAATAAATTATCACATTTAATTAGACAAAATATGAAAGTAAGGATGATCATGGAAAAAAATAAATTGTGAAAATCAACTTTGAAATCTTTGATTGACTTCTGATTTGAGACTGAAAATAGAGGAAGAGGATGACTAAGGTAAAATCTATATAGACATTTCATCAAATCCCATCTGTCAGCAAATAAGATGGATGACAGTCAACTTCACACCTCAAAACCCTGTCAAAAACTCACAAGGCCCCAATTCATTAATAGGTTTGCTGATCAAGATAACAGAAGATTTAAATACGGAGTTACGACTCAATTTTTATATTAAGTGTTTTAGTTTATTTTTACTATGGATAAAGGGGCAGTTATTCCCTTTTTCATTAGATGCCATTGCAAACTATTAATATTTCATTTCATTACTCAATTTGTTACTACATTGTACTTAGATAATCTCTGGCAGAATTGAATGTATACTTGATTGAATTACACCTAATATATACAATAAAAATTATAAATTTTTAGAATTTAATCCTCTGGCATTTTCCCTTAAAATAATCTTGCTAAGAGTAATTATGTTCCCCAAACGAAGTTGGGGAACATATTGTTTTTACTCTGTTTCTTATTAAGGTCTTCCGTCTCCAACGGAAGACCTTCTTGTTTTCGTTCGGTTTCTTTTTCCCTATTATTATTATTATTCTTCCAACCGATTTTGTGCAAGCGATTTCTCAGAGATGGCTCGTCCGATTTCTACCAAACTTTCAGATCTGAAAGATATTCAATTGATCTTGATAGGTTTTTTTCCTTTTTGATTATCTCACTTCCGGTCGTGAGATATGGACGATTTTCTGATTTTCAGAGGGTCGGCTTGTCCGGGAAACTCCTCCGAAACGACTTAAGATATGGACTTGAGATTTTTAGGGAAAAAAGAGGAAGGTTTGGTGAGTTGTAATTGGGTCTCCAAATCTTTCTAGCGCAAAAGGCACCGAAGTTCGGTAGGGCCGAAAAAATGTCTCAGAAATATCTCACAAAATTTGACGCATTTTGTCTCATATCTTCACTCCTGTTCATAATTTGTTAAAACATATTGAAGACAAAATGTTCAATATCGCAAGACCTTTCATTTGATATAAAAAAAATAGGGCTGACCCTTCAAATTAGGGGCAAAGAGGGGCCAAAAGTCTTTTATCTATAACTCTCTAATGATCAATTCTTTGTTATACATTATTGATCAAAAGTATTCATCTTAACAATTAGATTATAACTATCTAAGTTGTTTGAAAATTGGCTTATCTGAATTCTAGATATTAATATTTGAAAATCTGAAGCGGGCCCCAGATGGCGGCTGTCTTTGTCAATTCCGCCATTTCGCAATTGGGGTTTATGGAGGCAGCTGAGCGTTTGATTAAACCATTCTGACATACGAAAGCATGAAATGTAAACAAAACTACGTGGACTTTCACGTAGTAGTACGTTGCAATTCAGTGTCGATCTTAACACTTAATTTCCGTTTCACTACTTAAGTGTAACTGGGCTAGATACGATATATGTAATGTGTACAAAGACTTTTAAACGTCGAAATAAAATAAAGGCAATAAGAACGTTTTATTTATTTTATTTCATTGCAGCTATCACACCAATTTAATAGATAAGTTCAAAGAAAATGCGCGAATATTTACTCCTGGCGTTTGGCGCAAATTATTAATAGTGACCCGCCTTTTATGATTCTTAGACAGGTGTACTGTTGCAAAAGTATACACACAAGTATATTTAGAGCAGTACTCCCAAAAGCTTTATGGTTTGCGCGTTGGGGATAAAACAGAAAAAGGCGACATGGGTTCAATCCTCTTTGCGACCAAAATTTTGAATCTTTTTCTGTGATATTCATGGCATAAGTAAAGGCCCCTATTTGCTGATTTAACGTATAATCAGTTTCTTGATTTGATAAAGAAGAAATTAAATATCTTTGAATGTCTTAGAACTTTCGCAAGCGTAGGTTCAACGTTTTCTTAAACACTAAAAAATATTCATTTCATTTTCTCATAAATAGGCTGCGCCGATAATACACATGGTGCCAATGTGCAAGTAAGGTCATCCCCATGATGGGGAATGGACCTGTAGAAAACCTTCTCTGGTTCTGCAGAGTCGAGTTTTTAGCAAATAAAATGTATGAAAATGCACGAATATTTACTCGTGGCGTTTGGCGCAAATTATTGATAGTGACCCGCCTTTTATGATTCTTAGACAGGTGTACTGTTGCAAAAGTATACACACAAGTATATTTAGAGCAGTACTCCCAAAAGCTTTATGGTTTGCGCGTTGGGGATAAAACAGAAAAAGGCGACATGGGTTCAATCCTCTTTGCGACCAAAATTTTGAATCACTTTTCAGCTCGATTATACGAGATTTTTTTTCCTGAATCGGACGGAAGACCTCTCGTTGCTAGCAACGAGATCGTTTCTAGTTATTATTATTATTATTCCACTTTTCATAGTACAGGTCATATCTCCGCTGTGCGTGGTTCAATTTGAACGATTTTTTCAGGGATGGTGCATCATGTTAATATCTCCAGGGGTGTCCCTCACTTTTTCGAAATTTACTTCCGTTTGCGTTTTTTTGGGGAAATTTGTATTTTTTAAATGGAATTTTGTCGCAAAAAATTCTCGTGAACAGTAACAGATATAAAACTGAAACTTACGGACGTGATAGAACATCGAATGTAGATGTGTTGATCGACCTTCATTTTTCGTCGTTCTGACTTCCGGTCGCAAACGGAAGTAGATTCTAAAAGTCTTATTTCTCAACTTTTTTGTTTTTCACTATTTTTCTTTGGAAATCACAGGGTTGATAGAGTATCTTTTAAGAACTCTAAATATATTTTCAACATTTTCATGCGTGCATTTGTTGCAAAGATATGACCGATCCAAACTTTGTCTCACTGTCGGGGGTTCGAATCCCGCTGGGGGCGTTGCAAAAATGTTTTCTATGTTTCTGTTTTTTTTCAGTTGTATATGACTTTTCTTTCTTGTTTATAATGTATGGAAGATTTTGTCGATTTTTAAAAGCTATATTTTGAGATATTTTGTGGAATAACTGTAATAATCACGATCTATGTTGAGAGACTGCTGTCAATGAAAGTAAACGATAAAAATACATTCTGAAATCTATTTCATGGCCTGACGGAGCAGAGATTTCTAACGAAAAGTCGGGCGGAAGACCTGCTTGTTGCCCTAGCAACAAGAACGCATCTAGTTATTAAGGTCTTCCGTCTCCAACGGAAGACCTTATTGTTTTCGTTCGGTTTCTTTTTCCCTATTATTATTATTATTATTATTATTTTTCTTACTGATTTTGTGCACGCGATTTCTCAAAAACGGCTGGACCGATTCTCACCAAATTTTCAGATCTGATAGATATTTATCTGAACCTTGTCGGAAATTTTTCGTAAGTACGTCGTCACTTCCGGTCTTGAGATATGGACGATTTATTGATTTTTAGAGGGTCAGCTTGTCCTGAGATCTCCTCCTAAACGACTTAAGATATCGACTTGAGATTTTCAGTGAAGGTAGAGGAAGGATAGTAGATGTGACATTTTGCATATAAAGCTTTCCAGGTAAGAAGGCATCGACGCTCGCCTGGGCTCGAAAATAGCATCATACTCATCTCGCAAAAATTGACACGTTTTCTTTTATATCTTTTTACCTGTTAATATTTTGTTAAGACATATATAATAAAAAATGTGCAATATAGTAAGACCTTTCATTTGATATCAAGTAAACGGGGTTAGTCCTTCAAATTAGGGGTATAGAGGGGCCAAAAGTCTCTCGTCTTTAACTTTTTTGTTTTTCAATATTTTCAAATGATATTAGTATATTTGATAGAAACTTTTCTTATTAGGCTGAATATATAATTCGTTTGTAAATTTATAAATTCAAACTCGAGATATTAACATTCAAAAATCTGAAGCGGGAACTAAATGGCGGCGATGTCTGTCAATTCCGACATTTCGCAATAGCGGTTAACAGAGGCAGCCGAACGTTTGCTTGAACGAAAGTAACATAAGGAGCAATGAAATGTGTAGGGATACTTGGATTGTCACGTCGTAGGTTCGTTGCAATTCTGTGTCAAACTACATTCATAATCCAAGGTTTTCTTACAAGTAAGTTCTTCAGTCTTTTTTAATTGGTTTTGGTTGTTTCTCAAAGTAGAAAAAAGAAAAGAATTAATGTGCAAATTAAGTACGCATTGATGATATTATCTAAATCAAAAGGATTTAATCAAAATAGAAAAGGCATGATTCCATGATGTTTTATCAAAGATCGTAGTCAAAGTCATATCTCATCTTATCGAAAAATTCGGACGGAAGACCTACTCGTTGCTCGCAACGAGATCGCATCTAGTTATTATTATTTTTCTTCACGGGAAAATTTTGTCCGCGAATGATCTTGTAAAGTACAAATCTGATTAAGGGGAAACCTTTTTAGGGTAAGTAGGCATGTTATGTAGATTTGCGGAACGAAGGTCATTTTGCGCGCACGTGCTTGCAAGAGCGCGCACGTGCAACACGTGAAATGACCAATATGCTTGAAATTGCCGTAACTTTTACATTTTTCGATGTAATGCTTTAATATTTAGATTATATAGACATATTATAAATGTAGATAAGATGACATTGTCAACATGCAATTTTGTGTGCACGTGCTTGCAAGAGCGCGCACGAGCAACACGTGAAATGACCGATTTAATTGATATAGGCGTAAATTTTTACCTTTTTAATGAAATGCTTTGAGACTCATAATATAAGGATATAGTAGTAGTATAGACAATATGACATGGTCAAAATAGCAAGATCTCACGCGCATGCACATGCGCTTCGCTCTGATTGGCTGAAACTAAAGTCTCAATATCTTTCTTGTTTTTTGATGAAATCCTTTGAAATTTTGTACATAGCCATACATTAGGATATCCTACAACATGATGTATAACAATTTTCATGAAAACACGTGCATGCACGTGCGCTGCACTCTGATTGGCTGAAACTTTAAATAGCTATAACTCCCTTGGTTTTCAATCAAACAGGATGGGATTTGGAACATAGATAGATATAATAGACTTCCACAAGAGGGTATGGTCACCATGCACATCCATACACGTGCGTGTACGTGCGCTGGAATCTGATTGGCTGAAACTTTAAATAGCTATAACTCCCTTAGTTTTCAACCAAACAGTATGAGATTTGGAACATAGATAGATATAATGGACTTCTACAAGAAATCACCATGCACATCCATACACGTGCGTGAACGTACGCTGCAATCTGATTGGCTGAAATTTTAATCAGCTATAACTCCCTTGGTTTTCAACCAAACAGAGTGGGATTTAGAACATAGATAGATGTAATGAACTTCTACAAGAAGGTATGCCACCATGCTCATGTATGCACGTGCGTGCACGTGAAATGATTAAAATCAAAAATACACTTGAATGAGCGTATGTTTTAATACTTTTAGATTAAATACTTGAATATTTAGTATATTAAAGTATATAGATTGTGTAGACAAAATGATATGGTCATTACGCACATGCATTCACATGCGCACGCGTGCAATGCTAAAATTTGAATGAACTTGATACCCTTCTGAGTAAACGTTGTAAAAGTCTCAAATGCATAAAGTTTGTCTTATTTAATGAAGCTTACAGGGAATATGGCACCAAAAGGGAGATGGGGAGCGTTTGGGGAACATCTGTAACGGTCCCCGTTACAATTAGCACTAGTTATCTAATAAATCTGATGACAGAAGATTGCAGAATCATTTGGATCAGTGACTTTTTCAGTCTGTTTGTTACTTATCTTGCAATCTATAATGGCCCCCATCTGAAAAACACTGCCAAAGCAATCTGATCGAATTACAAACAAACAAATATTGAATAATGCTATCTGCTTCACAATCTATATAAATGTTTAAAAGGAAAGGACCCACTGAAAATTACATCAAAGTATTAATTACATACCAAAGTAAGTGATATTTTTTTATTTTAATACAACAGTCATGCATTACACAGACTAATAAATATATACACCATTTAAATCCATTAGTAGTATGAAAAAAAAAAATTATTTTAGAAATTGAACACTGTGTCATTTGAGAAACAAGGTGAATATATACATATATAACCATAGCTTTATGAACTACCCCCACTCAAATGAGGTAAAGCTGCAATAACCCTAAGTTAGGTGTTCATGTAAAGGAGCACACAAATGAATCAAGAATTCTTTGAAGTAAAACTAAGCAATGAGGTATTAATAAACATTTTTAATATTTATTAATTACCATTAAGCTATATAAAAGCTGGGTATAAAAGGCTTTGATGACATAAAAAAGCACTGTATATAACCATATACATGTACCTGATCATTCTTACAAAATGTCCTTTAATTTAATTTATTGAAATAATTTGACTAAAACTGTAGGAGTATTAATTCAAAAACCTGTTTACAGACAGACAGAATGATGAATAATGGATGCCTTATTATTGCAAAAGCTTTTTTGGTTTCTGACATAACTAGAATTAAAAATAAGTATATACGCCTAGAGCAAAAAAGGGGTATAGGTTCTTTTTTAAGTAAGGCACACAAAGGAATAGAAAAATTATGCTAATTCAACAGATTCATGAAACAATAGAAATAGGAAAATTATAAAAAATATATTGTATAAATTTTTTTTGGTAAGGATTGAAAAGCTATATCACAAGTAACAAGTTAAAATATCCTTTGGCATTTCTAAACAGTACAAATAATCTTTCAGGATCTAGCATTATAAGGCCATTTTATACAGATAACTAAAAAAAACCTAAAGCAACTACATCATAATTTTATTCTCTATTCAGTAATAGATCCTAGATAAAAATAAAAAAAATCATAATGTGCTTCGCATGTCAAACTTAAATAGTCAAACCTGCACTTCAACCACGCAAGGCTCTAAAAACATGCTTGTAACTAAATTATTCTGATAAACGGAAGTTGCTTTCATGCGTTCTTAGATAATCAGTTTGATCAGTGGCGATGTCTTGAACGTCTGATATGCAAAAATGCACGGCAGCCACACCTCCACTTGTACGAGTGACCTACTGACATAGTGCTGTATGAGTCTTTGGTCCTCATTAATCCTACATACTTCTAAATCTGCACCTATTTTTAATATGTCATAATCACAAACTTCCCTCTCATGTTCAATTTCTTTTCTACGTCTTTGTATTTTTTTTTGTCATTAGACTTTTTGACTGATGCCTGAGAAACAAAAGAAACTCTCCCAGTTGCTGCTAATTATAAATCGTACTGCATCCTTTTCTCATTCATAAGTGTGTCAATCGCCTGAGAAAATAAACTGCAGTAGGAAAAAAAAAATTCTGTTATAGCAACTTGTTGACATAGGCTAGAGAACTTAATCTGTGCTTCCATCTTTTTTTTATATCCTTAGGTAACATTTCTTGAAAATAAATCTATGCAATCATAGACGATTGATCCTTGGCCAAACATATTATCTTAGTTTGCCTGTTTTCAACTAAAAAAAACCCACTAATTACTAAAATAAGTCAATAACAACCATTCAAATCAATAGTGTAATTCAGTCACTGGGTTAAATTGAAAAGTTCAATAGGGATAGGTGTTGATGATGAAATACATGTATCTGAGCTGACTTGATTATTTCAACAAGTTAAAAATGAATCACTTGATGAACTAAAATGTCACAACTCAGTTGTATATATTTTGGACCTGTAAATTGACTTGAGAAGCAGTGTAGAATTTTGAGAGACGATTTAACTTGTCTGAACACCTGTACATTATTAGGACAACATTTACCTGAATTTCCAGTTGACTGACCACCTGCATTTGAACCCGAGCTTGGGCGGTGCTGCGGTCATCCAGTTGATGTTCAGTGGCCAGATGCCTGAAAAAGAATCCACAAATTTATAATAATAGATGCTAATTGTTTAATATTCTTATTTAAATGCAGGAAATGCAATTTTTAAAATTTTTTATTTACTGGTAATTTTTCCTTTTACAAAACATCACCATAGTGCACTGTCTCTCTAAAATTTGTCTTTCTCGCTTCATTCATCAGAATTGGATACTTTAAATCAGATATATCTTTTATCTATGTTTATCTATGCAGTGCACGACTTCTTTTTTCAATTTTTGTGCACTATTTAATCTTTCTGTACCTGAACATCTCTTATAGATACATATGTTTTCTCAATTTTTATTCTACTGCTTTATGTAAATACTGAATTACTTCTGCACCTATCAGCAAAAATTTCCTAGTAGGAGACCAGATGTACCTACCAATATTTTTACAATTCAAATGTATACATAATTCTACAGTGTTGAGCAAAAACGAGTTTTAAAATTGTTTACTGCCTTTTTACCAATGGTTATAAATTCCCCAATCATCATATCAAAAATAAGCGAACCCAAAATTCATACTTTTTAAAAAAAATTCTCAGATAATAAAAAACAAACAAGGTCATTGCGGAAAACCTTAACAAATATATAAATATCTGATTCTATCTCAGGTTACTAGTATTATGACAAGGTAATGTATTACAAAGTTATATCAAACAAGGACATGTATTCAAAACAATAGGGCTGGGCAATAATATCGATATTTCAATATATTGCAATACAATGACGAAAAATATCGTATCGCAATACGATTTTGTAATATCGATATATTGGCAATATGCTTAGATTTAGGAATTTTGACATTAAATATAGAAATGAATGTATGAAAGTTTGTTCTTAAGCCAAACAGTAAGACAGAAGTTGCTTTGTGGGAACATTTCAGAATATAACTTAAATGAAATCAACAAGATTTTTTTACGCGTTGGTTATTTATCATAGTTATGTACATTCTGCATGTAAATTTAATTAAATATAGTAAGAAAATGCCATTTAAATTACATTAAAAATATTGCAATACATATCGCAATACAGTTAAAAATATCGCAATATATCGCAATACGAAATCTTGGGCCAATACCCAGCCCTACAAAACAAGGTGCCTTAAACCTTCACGGGCGACTTCAAATTTCACTCCTTGATCCTCTCCTCTAAGGGAGCAATGTCCTAGATAGTCAAGTTAACCACAGTACGACCTAGGCTTGCGGTTTTAGAAATCACAGGTTGCTAATGTCAGCCTCTACTATTGGATACTGTTGTATATCTGTATATTAAGTGAGATGGAGGTGTTTGTGGTGACATTTTCATTCTCACCTCTGAAACTCGGCTTGGTCCTCGCATGGGGTATCGCAGTTTGGCCACTTACAGCGACCGTGACGAAACAAGCAGCCCGTCTTGAGGGATCCTGCCTTCTCCTCTGTGTCAACTGAAATCAGAGGCTGGTTCAAAAGCCCTGTGTGATAAATAAGAACAGATCTTACACTTGTGTGATTTACTTAGTGCTGTGAATACAATGATATTGTAACAAAAGCCTCTTGTAGACTATTTCTTTTATCTTACTTTTTTTTCAATAACTCTCTTTTGCCTTTCATCTGAACACTTTATATTCATTATACAGTACAATTATGAATAATAAAAAAAGTTTGTCAAAAGGATAAGTCCAATTACATCAAAAACAGCTAAAAATGAAAGAAAAACATTTAAAGATGATATTTTTTCTGTAACAAAAAATTTTAAAGAAACTTCTTGATTCCACTAAACAACTTCAATCTGTAAAAGAGCTACATATTACATCCATAATCCTTAAATAAGAAATCCTCATGGTAAAGATTTTTACCTGCGGCAGGTAAGAATCCCTCGGCTGTTATACCGTTTGGCCACTGTGTGGGAGTGTTGGGGGAGGACAGTCCATTGAACACAGACTTCTGCTCCCCCTCCAGGCCTGACTGGGTGGCCACTTCCTTCCACAACTGCTGAATTTCAGTGGGGGACATCATCCCTGGGGGGTAAAAAAATGGTCTGGTTAAGAAAAACATGTCACACTATCCTGAGGTAGATCACACCATGAACATCTTTCCCCGAACCTATGGCAGTGGCATGAACTCAGATGGTTGTGTCAGGCAGAAAATTTAATCAATGTTCTTGTTTTGCTAGTATGATAAACAAAGCTAGTGTTGTCTTTGGGCCACAACAATAACAGCTAAACATTGCCAGCACGGATAGTGTAAACATATATTTCAGTATTGATCTCCCGGCTTCACGTTTACAACTAATTTTTGCACACTGACTAATCAAATCCCTTACAAAAATAATAACATTTCACATGATATGGACATTTCCATTTCAAAATCAAGAGCATGCACCATTTGTATGGTCACATGGTGTGACTGTTTCTGAACAAAAAAATTGCTGCTTTGCCAAATTTATTTCTGGCTGCCTAAAAAAAATAAACAATGAAATTCTGCCTTGTCTATTCAGACTGAACCCAAGGTCGCAAACAACACAATTTGTAAACAAATTAACTTGAAGCCCTTGCTGATGTTTGTACAACTATGTACAGGGCTTTCCACAAGTTATCTACCATTTTATATCCAATCTGCAGCTGCAGGTGAGGATAAAAATCCGAAGTTTATTTTAAAAAATATTTGAGTACATCAAGGAACATACCCTTCCCATTTTTTATTTTTCAAAAAATAAAACCTGATATCACAATGACAAGTATACTTAGATCATAGCAGTTCCCTCCAACAACAAAATAAAAGAGTCTGGGGAACAGTGCGGATTTCAGGTTAATTGAGAACACGAAGTGGGTCGTTAATTTCCGCTGCTGCTATTTTTATTTACACTCTGCACAGGAGAGATCAATGAACTACAGTGTACTTGTTTGTTTTATTTTTTTAGACTGATTTTTTTTAATTCAGGGGTTGTTTATCTGGCATCTGTTTTGGGGTTTGAGAGCCCTGAAGTATTGACTATGGCTAAAACTGCTCGATCTTGGAGAGCTGGATAAGATAAAAGGGAGATGGGAGAAAAAATGTAGGTAAAGTGTAATCCAGTGACTTAAAATAATAAGCTGTAAAATATCATAAAGTGATGGATTTATCATTTAGAACACATTAAAACAGTAGCAAAGCTACCATGCATGCTTATAATGCCTTTCATCATCCACTAATTTTTTTTTCTCTAAAACACTATTTGTCAATTTCTATGGTTCTTCAATCCCCTAAACCTTTGCAGCTTCAATTAAAGTAACTCGGACCCCCCTTAAGTTTCAGTCATCCATATTATTTGTGAATTGAAAAAAAATTCACTGGTACTCTGATAATTGAAACCTTGTTGATTTTTTTTTTATTCAATGAGCCTAAATAAGGAAAAATATTCAAAACCTGATAGTTTCAATTCTTGTTGCATGCGCACACATATAGGATATTCTATTTCAATATATCCTTTTATTTGACAGGCTAAGATATTAAGCCTTCGATCAGTTTGGAATCATAATAATTTTATATAAATTCTAAATTATGGAAACTACATCTTAACCCTTAAGAAACATGTCTCAGCTTCCTGTGCAAGTTTGAAACCCATTTATATGTATTTATTTACAGATGTCAGAATCCCAACAGTAAATAATTTCCATTTCAAATCTTAATCAGTGTAAAATCAACAAAATGGAGATCTTTGGAAACACTAGTGCATTCATTTTACAGCTGCATTTCTGATCAGATCCCAAGCAGGTGAGAATGCCAGCTATCTAGATAAGGGAGGGATTTATACACAAACACTGTAAACAAAAGCATTAGTTCCAGACAAACCTGAGTAAACAAACAGTGGACCACCCTCGGCCCAGTGTAAACAACGCAGGGTATAAATAGAAACATTTTTTGTCAGTTTCCACCAGAGAAATAAGCAAATCAAAAACAGAAAAACTCTCACAGCAATTCTTTCTCTTTCCTCCTCAAATGTGTTGTTGCTATTTGTCATATGTTTTCTAATACTGCATTGAATTTTAAGTTCTCAAATTACAGAATTATATTTTCATGAAAATGTATTGTGGTAGCTATGGCAACATCATTTAAATTGTTTAGATAAAGGATTACTATCATTGTAAAGTTTACTTGTGTACCAAGTTTGATTTAGGGCTAAAGTTGTAGGCTATGGAATAGCATTTCGAAAAATTGTTTAGAGATGGACAGACAGACAAACAGACAGACAAGTGATACCTTATCAATGCAGACAGATGTTAGCTCTCCTGGTCTTTGACCAATGGAGCTAAAAATTAACTTAAGACCTTGATCATCAAGTTTGACAAAATATATGAAACCTATGTGTTAATTATCAATTCTGAGTTTAAATCAATATATTGACCCTATATTTTAATGAAATGATTTAAAATATAAAGTAAAACATAAGTTCTAAATATATATTTAAATAATTATATTAACTTAGGTTCTTTTCTCTAGAATTTCTTAGCTGTTTTTACTGAGCAGAATTTATTGTCAGAACATCAAAAATAAGGACTAATTCCTTATGATTAAGCCAATCACATGTAGTATACTTATAAGTATTCCCAGCAGAACACTTTATATGTATAGTAATTACCACATATTAATTAACACTCCTGACACATGTCCTATAACCAATGACCAATACAGACCGCTCAGACAGCGAGATCTTACCTGTGAGGAGGACCATATCGAGTTTACTGGGTCAGGGGACAGGTGGGTTTTGTTGATGTTTACTTGTTTGTTTACCTGGCCAGCCCCTAACTCAGGTGTCACACAGCAATAATTTGTTGACACCTTCTGCCCATTATGTATACTCAGTGGTCTAAAATGCCACATTTTATGGACACATGTCCCTCACACTATGTGGATTCTAAGTGACAACTTTGGCCTGATTAATTATTTGCTGACCAGGTTAATATATATTTGTGCTTAGCTGGCATTCAATAATGCAATTATTCATTTAAACATTAAAAAATAAGTATATGGATATATAGAATTTTTATAATTTTATAAACACCAAATAGGATTAATTCATGCCAACAATTATATGATTTTTTTCTTATAAATGCATGGAAATTGCAAAATTAAGTAAGACTGCTGGATCACTGACATTTTTTTTTTTTTCAAAAATTCAGCATGACATTTTCAAATAAACCTATTTCAAAAACACAGTTCCAGACTATATAATGACAGAGTGCCGAAAACTCAAATGATATAGATCAAACTAAAAAACAGAATCATACACAGACAAAAGCTAGGTAGTCAGTTTTAATTGTTGAACTCTTTAATTTTGGAAAGACTCCATTGAACTCAATTGGAGGCTGATCACAAAGTGGAGCCCTATTTTTAGAAAGTACATTCTTTATGTTTTGTCTGTTGGTGATTATTTATGCTACTCTTTCATTACATTAACCATTAACTGTTTTTTTCAGTGACCAATGTATTAATCCAGGAAGAGGCTTGTATATTAAAATGTTCCCAATGACTTAATTGTCAAAGACGTTTTTTTTTAGCTTTGATCTTATTTAAAGTTCAGAATGTGACAAAAGTGCATTTATTCCCAAATCATGATCTCTTCATTTATTTATAATGGTATTGTTTTTTATCTAATGCTGCTATGCCTCCTTTTTTAATGTAAATGCGTGAATAACCTGTCATTTTATTGACAACTTTGATCACTCGTTACCAGTGTTTTCAGGTTTGTTAACCATTATAGTACCAAGAAAGTACATTTACTGGAAATGTACAAAGTTCAAATGGCAGTAACTATACCTCCTAATAAGTGCAAACACTGATCTAAATTATGCCATTTATAGCTATCTTACATATATTTAAAAAATAAACTTTTTATGCATGCATTCACTTACGAATAAAATTTGGACTGACATCAAGAGAAAAAAATACTGTTAACCTAAGATATTTGCAAATGATATGAAACAGATTGTTACCTGAAAAATACAAAGTTTACTGTATATATTACATGTACATGATAAATTACTGGTTTACTATCACTCAAGATGTCCGACTGAGAATTGATATTTCAATAAAATATCTATCTAGATGTTATACAAATATATGTGTATATATAGTGAACAACCAAGATTTTATCATCTTCTTTTTTTGTAAAAAATCTGCTGATTTTACACCAAATTTGACAGTGCTAAATATCAATATGTCTATCATCTTTTCAAAGTGTATCAAGGCCATATCTCGATACAATTTTTTTTCTTGATCCACAGAATTGTTTTAAGGGATAATCGATATATCAGTGCATGTTAGATTTTGTTTAATGTTTCCCAAAGGGCAAGTGATTGGTGGTGTTTATTAATACAGTGATCAAGCTATCATTGCCTTTATTTTCCAGACATTAATGGACTATAAATCAAAGATGTGTTTTATTATAGGAATTACAGGCAAAAGTTTCCATTAATTCAGCCAGATTATTGAATATGTATTATATATAAAAAGTTATAAGGGTTAAAAAAGACTAGAAGGTGAGTGAACTATAGACTGACATTAAATCTGTTATTTATAGTGAATATCAAACAGAAGGCCATTCCTACACTGTTCCTTGTGATTAAAATATTTAACCAAAAGTTTTCAATAAATTTTCAAGGTTGCAAACATGTGGCCTATAGGCACAGGAAGCAAATTAAAAGGGAATCGTGGGGGGCTAAACCAATAAAAATGTTTCTAAAATGGTTTTTCTTTTTGCCTTTATCATGTTTCTCTGCAAAAAGGGGGGGGGATGAATGGACAAAGATTTACTGTATTAAATACCCTTTTGTCTTACAATTGTGTGCCTTTATCATGCCTAACTTTGCAAAAAGTATTCAGGTGACACAAGATATTTGCTGACAGCTGAACACAATATTGTTAAAAAAAATAAAATTATCCATAAAATTTTTTATTATAAAAGGACTGAGCAAGACTCAATATAAACAATGGTTATTGCCAATGTTTTCTAATTTTGGTGAGCATAATTTTTTTGGCATATAAATACAAATTAAAAGTTTGAATTTTTTTTTCAATTAATTAACCTCCAATACTAAAATGAATCATGGTATTAAGATTAAAGACTTTAAAACAACAACAACACATGTAAGGTGCGCCTGGAACACCGAAATGTCACTAATTAAACCATATCTAGTCAGCACATTGCATCATGTTCAAAGTAACTAATGAATGGAGCCTAACATGCTGAGGGTCCGTTTCGACTTCCTCTTAACATAACAAAACATCATTATCTTTAGCTTCTTTTTTAGTTTTATTTGTCAGCAGATGGTCTAACTCCAGGAAATGCTAGTTTTTCATCTGGAATTGATGTGATTCATATCAGATGTAAATAACATCATAAAAGACAACAGTAACAAACACGCACACAAGCTTCTGCCTTTTTTTCTTATTAATGGCTCCTGTTTTTCACAAACATTGTTGTATGTCAGGAAATTTAATTTAGGTATTAATTCAATGATCTATTGATATGGTATTCCAGGCCCTTCACTCTTTGTGCTTCAAAATAGAATCTGGAACAGCTAGTATATTACACATATAAGAGAGGGCATTGGTTCATTTTGTAAATCTGAGAAAACCCTTGATTTTTATTTGTACAAAATCTTGTTTTTGGCATGAAGAAAGCTTTGATAATTCATAATAAGGAAATCAAAAGCTTAAGTTGCTAATGTAAATTTTACACTTCAGTTACAATGCACCTGACTCTATAACCATCCTTCTAATAAGTTTGAAGAACAAAAACCCGATTAAATTTATACTTTTCATTTTCTTTTTCCCAATTAAGATCTTTTTTTTCATGCCCTACCAAACTTCAAGTCTACAAAAATTACAAGCATTAAATATGGTTATGTCTACCTTGAGGCCCTCCAAATGGCTGAACCAGGCATGCTAGGAGAAACTGCCGTTGCTGAATCTGTATCTGCTGGATTTGCTGCACAAGTTGCTGTTGTTGCACAGCTAGTTGCTGCAACTGTTGCTTGTTGTTCTTGCTTTTATCAGAAGTGCCCTGCATTAGCTGAGACTGCTGAATGACATTGAGTTGAAGTTGCTCATTGAGTTCCTGAAGGATATGTTCTTGAAGTTTCTGTTGCTGCTCAGAAAAGAAATATTTCAAAATTATTTGAAATATCCGATGAATTTACAACATGTTCTAAAAGAGAAATTAATGATTCAAAAAAAGGCTAAAAAAAGAGAGAAGGGGAAAAAATTACCAGTTACGCAAGTAAGAATAGCATAAAATACTATATTTGACTTACTGCTGCAAAACATAAAAGGAAACAATGTTCCTTCTCGGCACTGACAAATTGAGAATAAACTGTTTTCACATGCAGGTTTTATTTATTCTCTCTCTAAATTTGGACCACAGACAGCTAAATTTGTGTAATTATGTAAATTTTACCCAATGTTAAGATAAACAAAGGCTCATTTAGGGCCTAAACAAATGATAGTGGTTTGTCTGCATATATAAATTAAAAAAACAATATAGACACTCTGGCTTCTTCATAACAGATGAAAACATCTAACTTGATGCCTTTTTCCCATTGTTTCCAAATCTGCAAGGACTTCCCCTTCATCTTAAAAAAGTAATAAACCCAACTTGGTTATATACAGTGATGGGAACAGCAACACAAATAAGTGCCTCCTCTAACATTTTAAGAGGAAATGTCATTTTTACAAGGAAATATAAACAATTGCAGACACTGATGAACACTTACTGCACAATGATAATAGTGATTTCATAATTTATTATTTTAGTACCTGACATATATCCACAAAACACTGATCTATTTTTCAAGAGTGTCAAATATAACGTAGGGGTGGGGGGTAGAGTAAGATTCTTGTTCTGACTTTTGAAAGGGCTTTGAATAGAATTATAAACACTTTAGATTAAACATAGCCAATACGTACGTTAGCATGCAGTCTCATAAAATATATATTGAATATTTTTGAAGAAAAGATTAATACTGTAGTAAAAATACATTTGAAATATGTCACCAATTTATAAATCTCTTATGTGCATGCATGTATACAATTTCTTAATTTATAACAATGTCAGTTTTTATTTCTCAATTTGTTAAAAAACAGAAGATATCACAAATAACAACACCTAACAATTTTTTTTCTTTAAAAAGCATGATTTTTTTTTTGGTTTCTTTCATATGGACGGTTCAGCTATAGTGTTTATAGCAAGGTTCATTATAGTGTTTATAGTTTATATAGTGTTTATTACAGTAAAATATGACAGTCAGTGGACAAGTTGGTGACCAGAAAGGTATGAACTATTTGTTCTTTTTGCCCTAAAAACTGTTGATTTTCTAACAACCTGTGCCATAGCCTTTGGACATAAACCTATAAATACTTATAAGCATTTGGTCACCTAAGGTTTAAGAAAGGTCAGAACTGTGCTGTTCTCAATATTATATGCTTCACTTTGAAAAACTGGTCAGATTCAGTACTCATATGAAGAAATATCATTTTTCTCTGTCTACTTGACTACTGTAACAGAAGATTTTTATTTACGAGAAAAACTTGCAAATGACCTGCAATGCAAGACAAGCTGCTTCTGAACACAAAAAAAGTCTCGAAAAATATTTTTCTGAATCATTCATCTTGACTGATCATCTTGTTAGCATTACATAATAAATTAAATGAGTGACACTAAATAATTTCTGTATTTATAGATATATTCGTGCATTTGTAAATGACGGAGAAATAGAGGTACCAAGAAGCCCCACTTCCTTGTACAATTTTTAGCTTGTTAAAAAAAAATAAGAATATATACCTGGTGCTGCAACATTGCTGTCTGATGTTGCATCATCTGCTGCTGAAGTTGCTGAGCTGTAAGACCCTGATTCTGTTGCTGGAGCAACTGCTGCATCTGCTGTGGGAGCACCCCGTGCTGGGCTGCCATCATCATGAGGGGCTGGCTGCCACTGGTGAGCTCTATGGCACTGTTGGACTTGACTTTACGTTTAGCTGCACTCTGGGTGGGGGTGGGAGAGTTTGGGCCCGGGGAGAAGGAACCCATTCCACGGTGATGTGGGCTTTTGTCCTCTGCCTCCTGAGAAATGGGTGAGGGCCCCTTAGAAAGAGGTAACATTTATGTTTAGTGATGCTTTACACAGAAACAATATGTGCCACCACAACTAATTTACCAAACGTTTCATCAAGCAAAAAAGAGCAAGAGAACAGCATGGTGACTGATTGGCCAAATAAGGTTAAACCAAATTCAATCTCATTGGCAATGACTGTAATAATTTTTTTTCAGTTTTATTTGACACATTTTTTCGGGGGTGGGGGTAAGGGGTGTTACCTTTATATTCTCGTCTTTCATAGTGCCATTTTCTGTGGGCTCTCTTCCCGATGTGAGGTTAACAGCGCCATCTTCACACTTCTCCATTATGCCATTCTCCTGGAAAGACATCATTTTAAATATGCTTATAATGACATCATTATCAGGATTCCTATATATGAACTATTACCACATACCTGTATTAAATATAGACATGTACATGTACATATAGATAGATTTGTACCCATATTTAGCTGGAAAAAATTATGTTGAATAATGCAAGCTGGTGAAATCAACATAATTATATCCCAGCAGTTAAAGCTTAAATAATTGGGAAACACTGCTGACCTAAAATATGTACAGAAGTGGAAGCTACTGACATAATTCTATTCACATATCCGTGGGTGGAAAATTAGGTTGATTTCTTGGTTTGTCCTTCTATATATATGTGTGGCTTTTATTTTCAATCTAAATAAATTAGTTAAATTATATAATGTTGCGTTTTAAGTAAAAATGAGTTAAATTCATTAAAATGTATGAATTAACCCCCTTGATGTTGCTTTTAAAATGCTGCATTTCATTTCCGGAAATCTGCATAGCATTTCCGACATTTTTTAATTTCATTTCTGACATAATTTTGTTTTCATTTCCGGAATTTACCTGTGAGGCAATTTTTTGTTTTCCTAATCAGCGGAAATGAAATTTTAAAAGTATTTATTTCAAAATATTGATTAAAAAAATATATATATAAATCCATTTATTATACATATTTGCATACATGTAGCACTATAAGTCTAGGTAAAAGAGTTCAATGAACATACAACTTTTTCACCTCATTTAATGTGCATCTCCACTTTTTCTTATTTCTGTACTGAATGATAATTTTTGAATATGAGGAATGAATTTAATAGCTACCCAAGTTATACTGGTATAACCTTACTTTGAACAGATTTAATGTTTCTTTTTAAGCCAATAATTAAACTGCAGTTTATAATGCATAAAACTGCCCCTTTGCAGGTTAATTTGATATACTGTATATCTTATAGTTACTAGTATTAAATAAACATTAATTGATTGTAATAGACTGATGAATCACATTCTTTATATTCCTATTATATAGTTCAGGTGAAAGACCAGTACATTTAAAAGAATCTGTCTGCACCTTGCATATTAATGTGCTGGAGTGCACTGTAAATATCTTTTGCTTATAAATGTGTGTTACTAGGTCATATCCATGCCTTCTTTAAAAAGTTCTCCTTCAACAACTAAATTGTCAATATCCTGACTTAATAAGATTATAAATGAATATACATATTGAGAGATTATCCTTTTTATGTACGAGTAAAGTAACACCTTACATAATTCCTCTAATCCCTCTTGACCCTATGGAAGAATAGACGTGTAATAAAAATAAATTCTTGTAAGTTTTCCCGACTTTTTACATTGGAAAAAAAAATTAAAAGTAAAATGTTAAGAATCTGATTTCCATTATTTCAACTTCTAATTCCATTAATAATATTCTAATGAGTGGTAGGCCGAACAATAATTATCTTTTTAAATTTAATGAATATCTTAGACTAATAAATTTTCTGAAAATCAAATACTCATCTCTGACATTAAAAAATAACAGTTACACATATCAGGGTTTTACACTAACGGTAGCTCGCTGGCCCGGGACAACTGAATATTGAGGTCGGGCTACTAAACATGCCTTTAAACTTGCCCTGCAGGGCTACTGTAATTTTTCACTAAACACTTATTCAGAGCAACAACAATAATTAATTTACACACAATGTACATGTACTTGATTCTTTTTGAAATTTATTTTCATACATATTTTTTACATAATTATATTTTTGCAAGTCAAAATGCATTAAGGTGATTCGAAATACTGTAAATGATTATAAATGTGGAATTTTTCAAATAGAAAAATGTCTCAGGTAAAGTCATAAAATGAGATAATATAATTTTACCTAAAATACTACCAGAATGCAAGATTTGGCATCTCTATTTTTAAAATTTCCTGGGGGCAGGCTCCCCCCAACAGCCTTTGGCTGCTGGACAACTAGTACTTGAACAGGGCTAGTAGAAATAAGAAATTGCTAGCCCAGGTGGCAACTATGGTTTTAAAGTTAGTGTCGATCCCTGCATATTTGCAAAAAATCAAGAAAAGGGCAATTTTGATTTCAATCTACGAAGACTAATAAAATAAAAAAAAATAAAACCATATGTCATATGTTGTAATCAAATTTTTACTGTCAATTATTATAATGATAAAGATACATCCAATCTATATACTAATACCTATCATTATAAGATTAGTTTTTTAAAGTACACGTAAAAAAATTTGTTGAGGAAAAAAGGTTAAATATTTCTGTTTGACAATAGCCTCAAAATCAGACAAGGAATTTAATTGCAAATTCGGCCTACAGCTGCTTATTATGAGGTTTAATTGGGGCATTATTAATTATGGCATAAAAGTCGACACAATAAACTGGCCTCTAGGAGGCATTTATATTAAATGATTGTTTTTGTTTATCGTGACCTGCGAGACCGTACGAAACAAAATAACTGCTTAACCATAAACATACTCCTGTTGTGTTTTCCGTCAAATCGGATCCTATTTGAGCCGATCATATTTAAAAAGCTGTTTATCAAATTAAAATCTAACAACATAATCAAAGATATTAATCTCATATCAAAAGAAATGTGATTTTGCAGAATATATCAACCTGAATACACAACAATAGCACTTTATGATTTGTAATACCAAGGGTCCTAACTTTGGCAAATACCCTTATAATGTCCTCATGCACTATGCCCTTGTATGAAAGCATTGTTAAATTCAAGATTTATTGATCAATGATCAGGTAAAAGTCAGGTGTTGAAAACTGATCCTTTGCAGTAAACATAAATTTACAAATTGTGTCTTGATCACTTTAAAAACTTTGAAATTTAACAAAAAAAAAAATTATGTTGACACAAAAAGAATACATGTATGAAATTAAGTTTCATCAAGAATTATATATACATGTATCGCCAGATATACATACTGTTCAGTTTGTTGTGTGGGAAAAAGACCATCCTGATTGCCAAAGTGTACAGCAATTTGTACATACTATAAACTTGCTTGATAAGGCACCAATAAACAAATGTTTGTAATTCTTATCAACTCGTGTGTGTCTTAAAATAACAGCACTGCATAATCCGAGGAAGTGGAAAAAAAGGAATAAGAGAGAAAGAAAAGGAAAAAGATTTGAGTCAATCAGTTATACATGTATGCCATTTCTCCTCTCCTCCACACATATTTCTATAAATTAAAACCTTTACCAAGACCTGCCCACTATAATTTTTTTTACTTGGCTTTATTTCTTGCTCAATTAAAATATGTACATGTAGAAGTTTGAATCCCACTGATCCGCCTGCGTAACTTTATTTTTAATTTATAAATGATAGACTTGTCAAACAACTCAGCACTAATCTAAAAACAAAAGTCGTTACGTATTTTGAGTGGGTCTGATTGAGGATTAGTAATAGATGACACAAAAAACACAATGGCTGCATGGATATTACATCAAGAGGCTATATTGTTACACAATGCCCAAGGAAATAAAAACACTCATTCATAAAATTTACATGATTAATAATTTGTTTTATTTTGCTGTGACATATACTGTCTAGCGATTGATAATTGAATACAATGAATTGTTTTCAAAATGACAAAAAATCCATATACAAAGCCCTACAGATCCCCCTGTATTTTTCTTTTAATAGATGCATTTGAGAATTCATCAATTATTGTCAATTACCAAGTTTTCACAGAATTTTACCATAAAGGAGCACTTTCCAATCACTGGAAAGGTTAAGTATTATCTATTTTTTTTTTCTTTTTTCAAAGAACTCAATTCCCTATTATGTCATTTTTCCTTTTTATTTCTAAAATTTACATTCATAAACATTTTTACAATTGATTCTGTAATTTTCACAGAAAAAATTAAATTGCATAAATATGAAAAATTCTCACGAAAGTCATGCACCCTATAGTACCCTAATATAAATTACCATAACAATAACTTTCTCACCTCATATATATTATCATTATAATAATCTTCTTACCTCACAATTTCCAAATTTTTGTCCTCTGTAGCGAGACAAATTCATTTCCCCAGAAAGTGAAGAAGTGGGACTTGAATGAGAACTACTGCCAGTACTTAGGATATCCCGCCGACGGTAGTACTCAGAAGGACTAAGTGGAGAGTGCCGGTCACTCCCGCGATACTGACCATGGGTCAAGTCCAGCTCCAACATCTTAGCATGTTCTGATGTTGGCAAACACAGAGGAGGGGGGTGGGGGAAGTCAGATTTCGTTCTCTCTGAGGGGGAGAATAAATGTGGGTCCTCTCTCTTGAATCTGTCTTCCAGAAAGGGGACTGATCCTCGTCCATAAATCTGAGAAATGGCAGGGTGGAGGAAGGAGGGGTGTGGGGAAAAAGCAGCATAGAATGGGGGAGAGTCCACGGGAGAATGAGCACTGTCACACTTCATACTGGACATCTTGGAGAAGTCAGAACGCGGATCCCCAATAAGCATGTTACTGGTAGACACTGCTCTCAGTCCTGCTGCCTACCAAGTCCAACTGTTGTGCTCTGAAGTTAATATTTTTTTTTATTCTGGAGCAGGAAGAATTTTTTGGGAGTTCACTTTTTTTCTTCTAAATTTAACCCACTGCAATTAGATGCAGGAAACACTGATGATCACAATGAGAGGAATAACATGAGTTGACAAAGGGTAATCCAGAAACTTGCTTCTCCACACAGGCCCAAGTGTTTCTTCCTCTCTGTGGAATCGCTGTTCAGAACAAAGTTTTTTTTCCCCTCCTCTCCCAACTCTTAGAGATTTTTTTTCGTCAAACAATGCAAAAATAAAACTGTTTTAGAAATCAATAATGTGCTTCACACAGCAACACTTCAACTTTTTCTATAAATATCAGAAACATCCAAGTGTAGGCTCTGACAGAAAAAAAAAAATCCAAACATGAAAAAAAAAATCAACAAATTAAAAAAAAAATTCCTTTAAAGAAAAGAAAAAGTTGTCTAAATGGAACAAGACAAGGAGAGTCAGTCACTCTTCATGCTGCTTGTCAGGTGGTGAAAAAGATACTGAGAGCTGCGACTGACAGTGGGTAAATGACTTGCTAAGTAGAGCCGTCAATCACCAATAGCACATATAGCAGACAAGTAAACCATGTTAAACTGACATACAATGTTATTGGAAGTTAGTCAACCGACAGCAGGTTCAAAGGTCATAGGTCAAACAAGACGTTTCCTTCAGTCTTGCGTTCTTTTTTTTTAAATGGTGTATTGAAAATACTTGAAACAGTATACCATTTTTGTTATTCCTTTTTATACACAACAGTGATCATGAAAGGAATATATTTTCATTCTTGGTTACTTACAAATTGCAGAATTTTTTTTTCTGCTGAGATGACAAAAATAAATATTTTAAGATTTACAAAACATAATTAAGCCTTGAGTTTGTCTGAATAGAAGATGATAACAGGCCAAAAAAGGGAAAAGCTCCCCCCCCCCAAAAAAAAATCTCAAGAGGAAAAATCACATATATCCTTATATGTGAGATACAATTTATTTTAAAAAAAATCGTTTTTGAGAAAAAAAGGTTTGTAAAATAACCAGTGGACTTTTTTTGTCTGTGTGTTTCTCTGTATTTTCACAAAAGCTGATTCTCTCTGTGTAATTTACCTGTATTTTTCTCTTTTAGCTTCACACTATTACAGGGGCTGATTCTCTTTCAGTATGTACTCATACACTCTTTGTCTGTTTGTTTCTCTGTTTCCCACACACCCTGATATTTTCTCTTTTTTTTTGGTCTGTACACCCCCCCCCCAACTCTCTTTGATTCTCTCTCTGTATGTACACATTCATTACTTGTCTGTATGTTTCTCTGTTTCCTTCATACCTTATAAATGCTTATTTTCTCTCTGTATGAACATGTAAATTAACATACATCCTACGCTTGTATTAGCAAAGATTGGAATCCTATAATTAAAATAACATTTTACTCTCAATTTATAATTAACAATATACCTTATGAAGATAATTCAATTATTAAAAGTCAAACCTTTATTGACTTTCAGTGAATATAATGTGATTTCATGCCACAAGTTGTTCACATGTGTTAATAAATTAATAATAATTCTAGACAGCTTGTGTTAATATGACCTAGAAAGTCCATACCTTACATGTTCAAAGGGAGATAAACTTTAGTAAAGCTCAGATCAATCCATTCCTCATAGAATACATCATGTGCATGTACATCAATGAGAATAAACCAGTAGTTTAAAACAAAGACTAAATAGGACAAAAATTATAAAGGTTCAAGTAGGTTTAAAATACTCAAGAGAACACAGTGCAAAATCAAATTTAGGAACTTATTAAATAAACCAACGAACTTTTTTCAGGGGTTATGTGCTAGATCTAAAGTGTTTAGAATAATCTTGATATACACTTCTAGGAAGGAAGTTCTTTCAGTGGGAAAACAATTACAATTTTATGAATATGCAATTACCTTTTTCACGGAGAATCTTCATGAATGGTTGAACGTGGAAACGGTGTAGGGTGAGGATCCAAGATCTTCTAGGAACTTCCTGGGCCTGAAATGTCAACGATTCATCATATACTCCAAAGGAAGTAATGCGGTATGAAAACTTACAGGTATCACTCAAACAATACTGCAAGTCTCAAAAATTCCCTCTCAACAAAATCAGCATGAAATAGAAATTAATTATAACATTTATAAAATGTCACATAAGTTATCGATATTCATAGTTTCCCTTGATTAATAATTAAAAAACCGCTATGTTGTAAAAATAGGCTGTATTAAAATTGGTGCATCCTTCTGTCAATAAGAATTTGATGACCCACTGAATATTATTATTTTGTGGTTAATTTTTTTTATCTTCCTATTAAGACAATTAGTTCGTGTCCTTTTCTATTAGATGACACAACACAAAGTTATTTTTAAACACCTATTAATATAAAAAGCTAATGCATTATCAAGCAATCTCACAAAATTTTTAGAGTACAAGAATGTGAAAAAACATCTCTTTTTATCTCTCTCTCAAAATTACTAAAGTGGATCTGCACATTTCAACATTGATTTCATTGCTGAAGTAATCAACAAACTGTTTTTGTAATATTTTATTGGATAAATTAATGCTTGTCTAATATAAATTTTTTTTTGAAATGCAAAAAAAAAAAAAAAATGTCTAATTAATTTAAGAAACATATACTGATTTAATTTCATTTGGAAATTTTTATGCAAACTGTTTTAAATATATACACTGCTTTTGTAAAAAGATAAAAAGGAAATACAGTGTATATAGAATCATCATTAAAAATATCTTTGTTTCCCCTAACCCGACCCTAAATTCTCAAGTTGGGTAGGTAAGTAGGTAAATATTTTTTCTTACAACTTTGAAAATACATTCTAAATTTTGTATACTGGTCACGGTAGCCTAGTGGTAGAGCTTTCGCTTCGTGATCGGGAGGCCCGGGTTCGATTCTCGTTCGCGGCGCCGTGTCATACCTAAGACATAAACATGGGTAGTGACTGTTCCTTCGCCAAGCGCTTGGCACTAGAAATGAAAGTCACGGGTCTTTCAGATATGACCTTAATAACGTAGGTCCCGTGTCATGATAGGCGTTGGCACGATAAAGAACCCTCACTGCTCAATGGCCCTGAAAGCCGAGTATAGGTCTAAATTTGAAGCCCTTCACCAGCATCGGTGACGTCTCCATATGAGTGAAAACTTCTCGAGAGGGACGTTAAACAATGTACAATCAATCAATCAAATTTATAGAATTAATAATTATTTGAGCTTGTGAAATGGCTCACACCCGTGTTAATTTATTGAAATCAAATAGAGTAAATGCGTCTATTAATATTAGACGTTCGGGGATCTTCAGACAATAAAGTAAATAGCATTATGACGTACATGTAAAAACTTAGGTCCAGTCTAAGTTAAGAGCACTTCACCTGGCAAATGATAAAAAGTCATCCCAAAATTTTCAAAAGTTTAAAGTTATTTGAAGAAGCAACAAATCTTCAACAGCCAAATTACAGAAGAATGCACTTGATGTACGTCTGTTTGCCAGCGTGGCACAGAGGTCTAAGAGCATCTGCTCTCGAGTCTAGAAGTAAGGAGCTGATCCTTAGGTCTAGGGTTCGAATCCACTGCAGGACATGGAAACTGGTCCTTCGGATTAAACCATATAAACAGAGGCAGGCCCAATATTCGAATCCACGCGAGACATGGAGACTTGTAATCCGAAGTCTCATGTTGCAGAAGGCGTTGGCACAAAAAAGATCCCTCACTGCTCAATGGCCCTCTGTACTGAGTAATTCGCTGAGTTTAGGTATAAATTTGAGACAGGCCATACCATGCTTACTCCCTTCCTTAATTTTAAAAGACAAGTTTATAAAAACCACCGAAACACTTTTAAATTAGCCATGAGATATTTTATTAACTAAATGGTTCAAGAGTGTAGGACTCTAATAAGCTAAAGGCATAAGGTTGATACGTCGCCTTGTTTTATAATGCAAACTACTCTGTGATCGCATGTTGTGGGCACTGAATTGTTTCCTACAAATGCTTGAAAATCACAGCAGAATAAAATCGGCTGTTGTGATAAAAACGGATTTTGATGAAATTGTATTTTGTAAAAGTTGATAAACATAAAAAAAAAACATTTGAATTATGTTAACCAAAAAACTTCAGTCAGCTGTTTTAATTGGGTCGGTCGCGTTAGGGGAAACAAAGGTATTTTTTATTTTGGCCTAGTATATAATTATATATTTAAAACAAGAGGCCCATGGGCCTTATAGGTCACCTGAGCATTATGCAACAACTTTCCAGTGATTTAATTTGATTCATGTTTTAAGCCAGATGCTATGGCGTTCACAATTTTGAAAGAGGCACCATTGATCATCATAACAATACACTAACCAGTCGCTTAGTTTGTTTACTTAATACCCATAAGCTGGGTTGGGGAACAAAAAATGCATTTCAAGTAATCAGTAACATTCAGCAATAATCAGTAATGCCCCTATCACACATGAACCCCTGACCCTTAGGCTTAGATCCACACATTGCACAATTTTTTGAAAAGGCACCCTTGCTTTTCAAAAATATTTGATTAATACCAAGGAGCAGATCTCAAACATTCATCCAGTTTCAGTATATAAGAACACCCCCCCCCATGGTACCCCTGACCCTGGGGCCTTGAAATTCACAATTCTGGAAGATTAGGGTCCCTGCTCATTATAACTACATAGGTAGTTCATCTGCTTAATACCCAAGAGCAGAGAAGAAAATTTTCAAAGATTTAATGTATTTTCAATATATAATCATAAGAGCCCCACCCTATCAATAGAACCCCTGACCCTAGGGCCATAAAATCAAAATTTAGGAAGAGGTATTCTTGCTCATCATAACTATGCACTTAGTTAGTTTATTTAATTCCTAGGAGCAGAAAAGAAATTCTTTCAAAGAATTCATGTATTTTCATTATATAATCAATAGAGCCTAACACCCCAACCCTGACGCTGAGGCCACAAAATTCACAATTTTGGTAGAGGTACTCTTGCTCATCATAACTATGCACTTAGTTAGTTTATTTAATACCCAGGAGCAGAGAAGAAGATTTTCATAGAATTCATGAATTTCCGCTATATAATCAATAGAGTCCCGCCCTTACACCAGAACCCCTGACCCTGGGGCCACAAAATTCACAATTTTGGTAGAGGCACTCTTGTTCATCATAACTATGCACTTAGTTAGTTTATTTAATACCCAGGAGCAGAGAAGACGATTTTCATAAAATTCATGTATTTTCACTATATAATCAATAGAGCCCCACCCTAACACCAGAACCCCTGACCCTAGGGCCATAAAATTCACAATTTTGGTAGAGGCACTCTTGCTCATCATAACTATGCACTTAGTTAGTTTATTTAATACCCAGGAGCAGAGAAGAAGATTTTCAAAGAATTCATGAATTTTCACTATATCATCAATAGAGCCCCGCCCTTACACCAGAACCCCTGACCCTGGGGCCACAAAATTCACAATTTTGGTAGAGGCACTCTTGTTCATCATAACTATGCACT